CAAAATTTCACTCTTCCGCCGTACTACGGATGATGCTGCAAATCCAGCATTACTCCTATCCTCGTCTACATCATCCATATTTGCCCCTCCGACCAAGTTTAAGTTCAGTTTTGTCGCACCTCAACACAGGTCGTTGAACGAAGTAGTCGACTCAATCCATAATCATGCGTCGGCATTTACGCACTTCCTGGATCGCCTCAAGGAAGAAGCGAGCGTCGACCCAATGGACATTAAGCACATTGCACATCGTGTGGTGCATGGTGGCGACTACATAAGCCCTGTCATAATATCTGAAGAATCCTATCACCACATCAAAAGACTATCTGACCTTGCTCCTTTGTACGTCCTCTCCCGACTTGTATTCAGTTCCTCGTTACGAAGTCTGTAGACACAATGGATCCGCTCTTTCCGTCATTAAGTCAGCCATTAGGGCGCTTCCGCACGCGAAATCCATCGCATTTTTTGATAGTACATTCCACAAAGATCTTCCGACTCATGTAGCTACTTATGCGATCAATCAGCAAGTAGCGCAAGAGAGGGGGTTGAAGAAATATGGTTTCCATGGTTTAAGCTGTATGCACTCATCTGTCCTCGCTAAAACGTCGTTGACGCTGTATTTTTCTAGACGCGTTCATCTTGCGGGCAGTGGCCGCGCATCTTAACAAGGTATCTGGTATCTTGTTGTTTGATTGTGACCTTGTGACCTCCTCAGGCTCCAGATACTCTAAACATAATCGCTCTTCATATCGGTTCGGGTGCTTCCATATGCGCTATCCGCAATGGCCAGTCCATCGATACAAGCATGGGTTTGACCCCACTCAGTGGACTACCTGGAGCCACGCGCGCTGGTGATATAGACGCAAGCCTAATTTTCCACTACACCAGTCGGTCTCCAGCGCGTATGAGCCACGACCCTAGCATTTCAAAGGAAGTTAAAGTGACAGAAGTTCGATGATTTTCTTTCGTTTGCGAAATGGAAGCTCAAGCGCTCATTCTTGGCAGGCCGAGGACATCCTTAACTTCAAGTCAGGTTGGAAAGCACTCACCGGTACGGCCGACTTCAAAGAGATCACGGAGAATGCAGATACGAGTACACTTTCTGATGCCACAATGACTCGCACCGCAGACCCGAATACGCTTGCATTCCGCATCATGTTAGATCGCATACTCCATTTTGCCGGGGCCTACCATCTCGCTCTCCACGGAGATGTTGATGCTCTGGTTTTTGCAGGAGGCGTGGGAGAACGAAGCGCCGAGTTGAGACGTGCTGTCGGAGAAGCTGCCGCGTGCCTCGGGTTCGCGGGGATCGACGAGGCGAAGAATAGCCAAGTGAATGATGATGAAGGTATCATTGTGGATATCGGGAGCGGTGACGGGAAAAAGAGGATGCTAGTTTGTCACACTGATGAGCAGCTCGAAATGGCAAGAGAGTGTTCTCTGGCCAATGATTTCTGGGTTTAGCGAGGCCGACGGGTGTCGGGCCGTAACTTATATGTAATGCATATTAGTATACAAATAGGACTCCGTGTTTCAAACTGGAACTGCAACTTGGGCTGAACGTTCTCCCAACGCTAAGTATCCAGAACGTATGATCATGAGTCCTCTAACTGAATATCGGCGGATCTAGCTTGTCGAAGTCTCGACTCTTGGCATTGAAAGCCCCAAAGCAGTTCACGCACCAACTGACTGGCCACCCGCGGACTACGAGGCAGCGTCGAGAACCGATGTCAAAGTATTCTCTCCTAGGTGAACCAATAGAAGGAAAACAGTCGTTTACCCGCCGGGTCCCGATTTTCCAGACCTTGGTAATGAACAAACACGGCGGCAACACATCATGATGCCAACAGTAGTGACAGCGTGCACTTGTCATCTGCAGATCATTGCCGTGGCCAGATACTGCTAAACATTCCAGGACTGCAAGTGAATAAATACTGCGACAAGGTAAGGGAAAAAAAACTAGTACTCTGTCGTACATGATGCATAAGTTCAATAGGTTAAGGACCAGCGCTGGTCAATCGTAAAGCGCTAATTGAGGCTCACTTCCTCATCTTCTTTTCGTCGTTCCCCACCACGTCAAGGCTGCTTTCCATACCACGAATGGCAAATTCGGCATCAGAATACCTGGCTGGGGCAAGTTATGTTCGAGCGAACTTTGCTCCTCGACGTCAGTCAATCTTTTTTCGTAGTCTAGCTTTGCCACCCGAGCCCGCTCGCGTGCCTTCGTCAGTTCGTCCTCGAGTTGCTGACTCTTCTTCTTTTCTGTTACTTCTTTCTGACGTGCTTGTTCTGCTAGACTTGCGCTCTGCTCTTCCGATTGAGCAACTAGCTGTCTCAGCCGAGCAAGTTCTTCCTCCATTTGCCTTCGGTGCTCCTCTTCCCGTTTCTTCTGTTCTTCAAGAAGTCTGGCGCGCTCTAATTCTTGTGCCTCCTTGGCAGCAGCGGCTTCGCGTTCTGCCTTTGCATGCGCCTCCTCCAGTTCTTTGCGTGCTCGTGCGACTTCTTGCTCCGCTGCCTTCCGTTGTTCTTCCTCGCGATGCTTGGCCAACTTTTGTAGCTCCACGAGACGCAACTGGGTTTCTTCTTCAACTTTCTTGGCAGCGGCGGCCTCCTCCTGCTTGCGTATCTCTTCGGCTTTTGCAGCCTCTTCCATCTCCAACCGAGCACGCAGGAGCTCGTCTTCGAGTCGTTTCCTGTGAGCTTCTTCCTCGCGAAGTTTGGCTTCATGCTTTTCTGCGAGCAGTTGTACGCGTGCATCTTCTTCAGCCTGCCTAGCCAACGCAGCTTCGCGCTCTCGGGCGGCATGCGCCTCTTCCATCTCCCGCTGCAGTTGAGCAAGCTCTTCTTCGTGCTGTTGTGCTAGTTGTTGATGTTCAAGGAGACGGATTCGGGCACTTTCGACCGCCTGCTTCGCTGCGACACTCTCGGCCTCTTTTTCTGCGTGGGACGCCTTGACTTCCTCCAATTCTTTCTCTCTCTGCGCAAATTCTTCTTGCAAACGTACTCGTTCCGCTTCCTCTCGAGCACGTTCCCTTTCCGCGGCTTCCATGGCGGACTTCTGTCGTTGATGCTCAGCCTCTAGTGCTGCCAGCCTGTCCCGCTCTCGCTTGACTTCTTCGGCGTGAGCAATATCGGCAATCTCTTTTGCGATGCGAGTCTTCTCCATATCGTCCAGCAGACTTTGGAGGTGCTTCTGGTGACTTTCTTCCGCCAGCACTCTTGCCTTGCGTTCTTCTTCCAACTCGCGAGCGCGCCGTTTGTCCTCTGCCTGCTTGGCAGCAAGAATCTCGCTCTTCCTTTGAGCATGCAGAGTTTCCTGTTCCTCTTTCTCAGTCAAGACTTTGGAGACCTCGCCTTGAAGGCTCTCCATCGTCTGGAGTTGCTTCTGCTGCTCGGCTTCCATCTGCAGGATCATAGCCTCAAGGCGTGCGCGCTCAGCAGCGAACTCGGCAGCCATGCGCTGAGAGTTTTGCTCGATGCGCAAGCATTCCTCCTGCTTCTTCTCGAGCTCTTCCTGAAGCTCTCTCCGCGTCTCCTCGTCTTTGGCGCGCATAGCGGTTTCCATCTCTGCTCTGAGATTACGGATCTCCTCTTTGTGGTTATCCGCTTGCTCGCCGAGGGCGCGCCTGAGCTCAGCGCCCGCAGCAGTCATTTCGATGGACTTGTGCTCGTTGACGATTTCCTGCTGGATGCGGAGTGTAGCGGCTTGGTTGTTAATGAGATAACGAAGGGTGGTATGTGCGGACTCGAGGGTGCCATCGTGACGGAGCATCCGAGCGCCCTTCTCAAGCACGGGCTTAAAGAATTTGTCCTTACTCGCAAGTTCAGCCTCTCTAGCTTCGCCAATCTCACGTTTCACCTCTGACCACATGTTGGTCACGATGATAACGTTTTTAAGCGAGCTCTCTCCGCAAAGCTCACGGAAGATCTTGAAGTTGCGCTTGGACGTGCCACCCATCCTGAAGTCAGAGATGCGGTGCATGTAGATGACGCCAGCAAGCCTGGCACCATGCTCGTAGCTGAAGAAACGCAGACACTTAGCTTGAGCAAACTCATTGCAATGGAATCACGTACGTCTTGGAGAGATATGCGGCGATCATGGTCAAAATGTCCGTGTCACTTCGGCTAGTATCATCAAAGCCGGGCGTATCGATCAGGGTCACGACACGCCCGCTGACGACAAACGGCCGTGAAGTTCGCACTTCGCTGGTGCAACTTTCGAGGCCGCGACCAACGGGAAGGCTTGACCCGCTAGCCTTATTGATAAACTGTGCCCGGCAAGAGTGAGCAACGCATGGTTCGAAACAAGCAGACTTTACATACCGTGGATTTACCACTACCGGTAGCGCCCATGACGCTAGAAGGAGCGTCAATATATGAACCTGAAGACACTGAATTTCAGGTACGTACGCAATCCGGATTTCTCTGTTCGGATTCGCCATTGTTGTAGTTCAATAATTAGCGGATATCGAATGCAAGAGGAGGTATAGTTGTATACTGAGACTGGCAATACGTTGTGTAGGCACTTTGGTTAATGTAAGGAATGCGGGTGTTTAAATATGCCTGCGGCCTTATCGATTCAGCACCCACTTGCGGCGGCATGGCCTTCACGAGGCGCAGCCCCTAACGTGCCTAACGAAATGTTGAGCCCTAACTCGTTGTTTGGAGCCTTACTTAACTTAAACGTGATCACCACTGAATAAATCTCGGTGTGTTAGCCTGGCTTAGGAGCAGCCTCGCTTCGTCCTCGCTGAGCGCAATGTGAATCCATTCTCGACTGGCGTCTCTGTGACTGCCCTTTAACATTGTTAAACGTTAAACGTTTGAAATAGTGCCACAGCTTCAGGAATCTGATGCTGATCAGGGTTTTTTCCGTAACTTACACAGCGATGCATATGGGTATCATTTTAACGTAACCGCAGTCCATACTATGCTACAGAAAGTGAGTCAGGATTATCCGTATTGTCAGCCAAACGATCGCCAAGACAACTCAATTGCGCCAGTCATACAGCACGCGCGTGGAGTTGCTCTTCTATTTTCCGAAGTTCTGCTTGATATTCGGATGCCAACGTCGTAGCCTCGTTTTGCACGCGTAAAAGCTCCGCCTCCATCTTCTCCGCCTCCTCTTGGAGCTCCATTCGCGTCTCCTCATCTTGCGCCTGAGCGGCTTCTTCCAATTCCACTCTCAACTTCTCCAGCTCTTGACGGTTCTTCTCCGCCTGCTCCATAAGTTCGCGGTTAAGCTGTGCATAAGCGCCTGTCTGCGTGATGTCATTCCCTGCTGCGAGTTCGCTTTGGATGCGTAAGACTACGGGGTCTATGCCAGTCAGATTATGAATGAGCTTGTGTGCACTTTCTTGATCATTCATGTGGCGTAGGAGAAGAGCGCCGTTGTCGAGGATTGGTTTGAAGAATATGTCCTTTTCCCGCAGTTCTTTTTCCCGCGCCAGGGTGTCCTCGTTTACTACGTCGCCCCACATGTTCGTGACCATGAGAACGTTCTTGTATGCGTCTTTACCACACAACTCTTGAAACATGGTGAAATCACGTCTTGATGTACCTCCGACTCTGATATCGGAGATTCGGTGCATGTAGATGACACCAGACAGGAGATTTCCCTGCTTGTACCTGGAGGTCAACGTGTCAGTGCGCTAGGTTACCCAGATGATCTGGTGGGTACGAACATAGTCTGCATGTAAGCAGCAATCATCTTCAGCACGTCTGTGTCGCTCTTCGTCGTATCATCAAAGCCAGGCGTATCGATGAGAACGACACTCTTTCCGTCCAGCATGAATGATTGGGACATCTGTACTTCGTTTGTACAGCTCTCAAGCCCCATACCAACTCGCAAATTCGAGCCAGATGCGATGTTGATGAACTATTCAAATATTTATCAGCATTGATGACTGGAGCACAGGGAATGTCGGACCGTTGTCTTGCCACTGCCTGTGGCGCCCATTACACTGTGGGGCGGGTTAATCACCGCCCGACATATCGGTGATGGTCACGCACGCTATGTAGATAGTCTTGGGCTCCTCCGACTCTGGGCGCAATGTTTCTGGCTCTGGAGTCTGTCCAAGTTTTGGTAGCTCAGCCTCAACCCGGCCTGCCTCTGGATCCGGGAGCTTCTTGCGTCTGGAAGTAAAGTAACTGATACATCCACCCATGCTGACGTCGAGTCGGAGGTTGCTGCTGTCTAGGTTTCGTGTACTATAGTGGTTTTGTAGATCGTAAACACACTGTTGTCGAAGCCTACAGTTCAACACGTGTCCAACGCATTGTCGGGCCTAGACGCATCGAGGACGCCATGCACATCGGTCAGCCTAAAATCATTACTTCATGCCATGATTGTGATCGCGATAGTGTAATGAGGTGTCATTGGGTGGGGACATGCATAGGGCGATGAACACATGTGACCCAGATGCGATACATGAACCGGACGCGATATACTCGAAGCACGCATGGTCAACGCCCTACTGATAGGAATGGACCTTGAACACATGATGATCGTGCGTTTAGGGCGGACAACAAGAACGTCGAAATGTCACTACGGCACTGCCAATGAGGGAATTACCGCAACATTCCATGGCGCCTCGCGAGAAGGACGTGATACATGCGGAAGTTCACCGACCCTTGGTGGTTCCTCGTGGCTGCCGCGGCCGCATCAACTCCAGTGTCAGATCGCCGCGTGTGTTTGTAATAACTTTGTAAGTATTCGGTAACACAGCCAGCGTCGGCGGACCGCGTGTACATTTGCGGGCTCCGTGTTTTTTTCCGAATTCTCGAAATTTTATAATATGGTGTGAGCTTGTCACTGAACGTGCCATAGTTAGCTTGGACCACCTACTTGCCGCACTTCGGCTGTCAATACTAGAACCATCACACTGGCGAATCCCACAGTTGTGACGAGCTGACATGCTCACGCCATTCTGTCCCGAAGTCGTGTCATTTGGATGGATGGATGTCGAAAAAATGATCACATGAGGTTGCTGTTCAAGTTTGATGCAGATCAAGCAGAAATCTAGACAAGTGTCAAAAATGCGACAGGAAAAAGTTGGACGTTCAGGGGATTGAACCCTGGACCTTATACAAATTGGATGCTTAATGCAAAGCATACGCGCTACCACTGCGCTAAACGCCCTTGTTGTATCGTTTAACCTCTTGAATTATGTCCATTGTTTTTTTTTCGGACTCATATTAATGTTTCCATTGCCGCTGAGTTTTATTTGACCTGAAATTAAAATTAGACAAGTTAGGATGCTTTGTCATGCCGTCGGTCAAAAAAGTGGTTCGATGAGTATGTCATATATAAGAGTTGACCGGAACTTTGTCAGTTTGCTCTCGGTACCTGCTGGTTAGGTCAAGTGACTTCTATCGCTAAAAATCACCGTCTGTTTTGATTTTTAGGCGCCATGGATCTCGTTCTGCACCTCGCAGATGACTATCTTCTCGACAAAGTATGGGCGCGGCTGCTACCTCTTAACAATCACGCGTCATATGCTTCGTCTGCAAACTTCACGTCAATCACGTATCTTCAGCAGTCTGCCTGGCCTCGTGATTACATCCCTAGACAAATTATTTCTCTCAGCGCAATCACCCTCATGGGCATTCATTGCCTCTATTTCTTGTTCGCGTGGCTCTCATACAAATTCATTTTCAACCATGAGATGATGCGCCATCCACGCTTCTTAGAGAACCAGGTCAAACAGGAGATACAATCCAGTCTACGAGCTTTTCCCGCAATAACACTCCTTACCCTACCTTGGTTCCAAGCAGAGGTGATGGGTTACTCGAAACTCTACGATAATGTAGAAGAGTACGGTTGGGCTTACATTGCCCTATCGGTACCATTGTCAGTACCTTCTCTCTCAACCGTGACATCTGCTCAACATTTATTATTAGCTTCTTACTTTTCACCGACTACGGAATTTACTGGGTCCACCGACTATTGCATCACCCAAGTATATACAAAACATTCCATAAGCCTCACCACAAGTGGATAAGTATGTTGCTCCGCTCTGCATGCCGTCTTCTTGCGCTCAAATATTTTGGTAGTACCGACCCCCTTTGCCTCTCATGCTTTCCACCCCGTGGACGGCTACCTCCAATCTGTCCCATATCACCTCTTCATATTTATATTCCCTCTTCACCGATGGTTATATCTTGGTCTCTTCGTTTTTGTCAATTTCTGGAGTATCCTCGTGCGTGCCTTGCGTTACTCATATGGACCACTCTGACGTCAACGACACTAGATTCACGATTCCGATATGGTTACGGGACACGCCCTTGAAAAAGTGATAAATGGACCCGCCCATCACACACTTCATCATCTTTACTTTACGGTCAACTACGGCCAGGTACGCATTACCGTTCATGCTTTTCTCGTAGTTATCCCCTAATGCCTCTTTCCCCTCGCGCTCAGTACTTCACGTGGGCAGATCGTGTCTATGGTTCGTACCGCCAGCCCGAGTCGTCCCTCGATCCTATGCTTCAAATTAAGAAAGAGTCATAAGGACGACGACGATGATCGCGGCGAACCTATTTTATCATCCAATTATAGACTCATCCACCCTTGCCCACTGATGGATCATCCTAATACGTTTTTGTGCTGCTTGTTTACTCTTTTCATTGAAATCACTTGGACTATCAATGGTGTATTCATTTGGGATTGCCTGATTCCCAACTCTAGTCCACCATACAGACTGTGGCTTTACTACTACTAGCTATGAGTCAAGTCTGTTTCTTATATTTTGCCAACGTCTGCTTTCAACTCCACGCTTGCAAGCACATACAAGATCCACTAATTATTCAGAAGAGAATATTGTCAAATGTTGTGGAAGCGATTGGGGCAATGCTCCGCAGGTTTCAAGGGCATGTCAATAACTACGAACACCAGGCCGATACGGACAACGGCGCGCATTTTGGTGTTCAGTGTATTTGGAGAAACATTTGGCCCCTATCCTACGATGGGCGCCAGCTACCAGGTTCCATCATTCCTAAGGCCTAAGGAGACGAGCGCTAAGGCCTAAGGAGTATAACAGGAGAAACACAACTATCATGTTATTAATGCAACACATCGAGACATCGACATATGGATGTAGATAGCGTACTACTCAAAAGCAACTCAAACACTGTCCCGATGCCTCGACCTCACCTACTTCTTTGGTCGCCTCTTGACCTCATCGTCCTTGCAAGCATGTAACATGAGTTTGTTGGGGTGTCCTGGCGTCATGCCGCTGTGGCCTTTAGACCAGTCATACGAGACAGCGTATGCAAAGATCGTGCCGTTTCGGTTGAACGTAGTAGCACTGATTGGCCCAGGGGTGGCCTCGAAAGCTAAAAAAGTATGATCAGTACAATCAAAAAAGGCCAGCAATCAGAGTGGGAATACTCTTTAGCCGTGTGCGGGCGTCTTTGTCCCAGAAGTGGATAGTCCCATCAGAGCCTGGGTCGTCCGAATTAGACCAGCCACACGGAACTGGAGGCTTCGGGGCTTACCGCAAGTAGAGAAGGTCCCGTGCACAGGATGGAAGGATATGTCATTGACGGCGTACACAAGGGACTGGTCTTTGGCATTCGGTGTCTGGTCTTTTCGATGGCACTTGAATGAAAAGTTGTTCCTGTACAACACGTGAATGAAGGTATGAGCGGAACCATGAGATACCCATACGAGCTGTCTTTCTCTTCGACGTATCTGTGAAATGATGAACGCCAGAAGACCAATCATCTGACAAAGTTACGTACTGGATGGCCACACGGCCTTCCACACTACCCACAGCAAACCCGCTGCTGGCGGAGTTGGTGAAGCATGAAACAACGCGCGTTTGCCATTTCAGCGGGGAAATGATGGTCTAAATGGCATGCATAGGTCATGTGAGGACATCAAGTGAACCTCGTTGACATACTTTATATGCTGTGTTTGGGTTTGTAAGATTGAAAATCTGGATATGGCGCTCGGCTGTGGCAACGACCATAAGCGGATATTGTACATCCATGCTGTAGCAGCGCTCAGGGAGTTGAACGGTGGCAACAGGAGTTGGCGATCGCATATCCCAGTACTATGGTCGTGGTAAGTGATAACGCGAGTTATGAGATACATGCACGTGTTACGAGGATTGCAAGAGGCTTACTTTTACGGTCTTATCCCAACTGCCAGTGGCCAGAATGCCACCCTGTGGTGTCTCGATCCACTTTACGACCTTCACAGGGGCATCGTGCTGTGCCACTTGCTGTGATTGTCCATTCGTAATGTCAAACATGCGTGCAGCATTATCCGCACCCCCCGAAATAACTTTGTTACCTTCCTAAAGGCCGAAAAGGCGATTCAGCGTTATCAAATGGTGCCAAAGGAAGTACAAGTGCACCTTGTTCCAACACACGCTCAACACAGGTCCTTGGTGGCCAAACATTGCCTTGCCTTGAGTCTGCCCTCCAGCGCCAACTTCATACAAACGCACCTATCAATGCATAGATTACGCGTCAAACCTGGTCTAGATAACTTCTGAAACCACTTACATTATTGTCCCAGCTTCCCACCGCTAGATAGTCTGCTGCAGGGGAGAAAAGCTAGGGAAGAGATGGAGTCAGTCGGTGGCTCCGGAACTTCGATATCCTTTTCTGCGGGCGCCGCTGGTGCTGTCGACGCCGTGTTAGTTCCAAAGAATGACATGACGTCTCAGAACAGTTGGAACTGAGAAGATTGCGAAGGTGCAATTCGAATCTAAGGAGCAATTCAGTTTCAGTGCAACAAGTTGACGAAGCTGGCAAAGTGTGGCGTGGTAATTTTGGATCGCGCTGTGATGAATGTCGAGGTCTTGGATCAAAGCATGGCGGGTTGGCGTAATGGTAACGCGCTAGTTTCCGGTTAGAGATCGCTAGAGATTCTGGGTTCGAGTCCCAGGCCTGTCGCTTTTTATTTATTTTGAGAGCACAAGCGACATGAATTCGACAAATAATACAGGAGAGAGGTAGTAGTACACATCAAACTCATAGCAATTGAACTAGTGAAACTCATATCAAGCGTTGTCTTTAGTCAAATTTGGGAGTATCAAATGTGCCTTCAGGATCTGAATATACACAGTCAGGTGAGCGGGCAAGCAAGGTAACGGCTAGGCGACTCACCCATTCCGTGAGCAAAGATATACTCCTGGTCTTTGGCGACCATGTGCGTGATGTAGGCTGCGTCCGCGTGAGCCCCTGTCGAAACCTTCGTATTGAAAAGAGCGCCAGCACGGATGGCGGCTGCGGCAACGTGATACCTAGACGTGTGATTGCAAAGCATCATCTATGGAAACCACATCAAAATTAGGGGTAGCTGATTGCTGCGAATGACGCACATCGAATGGCGAGGTTGTCGTTCCCTCCTCACGATACCCCTCGATAGTGATTCTGTCCACGGCAGGCCTACCAAATAATAAACCTTTCACCTCGATGGGGTAGCCATGGTAGTTGATGATAATATTCTTGTCCTTGGTGAAAAGCGTGTCAAAATCGTCGGCGCTCAAGGCATGCGGGTGACTGCCATGGGGCCCGAGAATCATGAGGTCGGTGACGTTGACGACGCGCACTCGTAGAGCGGGAGCCACCTTGCGAAGAAGTGCAGCTGCTGCTATAACTTCGAATGTCACTTCGACACCGATACCAACGAGGACACTGGTTACCTCAAATCAGCCCAAGCTGTACCACTGCAAGGAAAATACTCACACATCCGGGTCCACGCCATCGTCGACGCTCGCAAATTTCCATACAGATGCGCCCGCAACGCAGTGCTGTCAGACATTAAACGAAATGCGAGCAAAATTAGGAGGGATCACTTCACCTTGTTTGCCTCCTCAGGACTCAGCCAGACGGGCGTGGGCTGCTTGCTACCAACCATCAAGTTCACATAGTTCTTCGCCCTCAAGCAATGGGCCACCGTGGACAAGAAGCAATTTGCATCAGGCGGCAGGTACACGCGCGCCAGCGCCGGTTTTAAATTGAGAACGGAACCAATGAAAGACGGGTTCTGATGAGAGAAACCATTATGCTCCTGACGTGCCCAGGTAGATGTCTCCAGATAATTCACGGAACCAACATCGTGCCTCCAATTAGTCTCGTGGGCCTGGGGAGGGAGGTATGAGTTGCGTTAGTTAGCCCATTTAGAACATCAACGGACCATCTTCGTGAACTTGCTATACTGCACCATCATGGTGTGTACAATGCCAAGGAAAGCCTCATAGCTCGGGAAGAGCGCAGTCCTGCCAGTAAGTGTGTACCCTTGCAACATGCCTTGGCAGGTATGCTCAGACAAGATTTCGATGACGCGCCCGCCCTGGGCGCGGGAAGCAACGTCCCACTGGAGATTGCGTCCGGTGACATCAAATACAGCATCTAGCTTGTTAGACACGAGTTCGTCAGGAGAGAAAATCCGGAAAGTGGTTGGGTTCCTACAAGAGGGTGAATAAGAGCTAGACACGTAATTGAAAACATACTCCTTGATCGTATCCCTTAACAGGGTTCCGACTACCTTCATGCAACTTGCCTGCAATCCCTTTTGAACTCCAAGACGAGTCCATTCTGGAACTCGAATGGGGTGGAAGGTGGCATATGCTTCCTTCCTGCAACCAAGCTTTTTATCCTTCTTGTCAGGGACAATGCTTAGCAATTCTTCAGTAGGTGCACCCTCCACCACCCCTCTGCCGCCTTTAGTAGCGAAAAGCTGATGAGGACCATAGCTTTGAAGCCAACCCTGCAGGGCTTGAAGCTCCTCCTGTGACGTCTTAGCCTGCGGAAGTGGGACTTGGTGTGAGTGGAATGACCCCTCGATGAACTCCCCATGCATCATCCTGGGACAGGTCCAACCCTTTGGGGTGCGGAGGATCAAAACAGGCCAGCGCGGCTTCACAATGGGGTGCCCTGAGCGAGCCGCGTGTTGAATACGGGAGATTTCAGCCAAGGCCCATTCCATAGACGCAGCCAGATCCAGATCAATCTGTTCCAAGTCACTGACAATGCGGACCATGTAACCGTAACCGCTTAAATGAATACGTCAGACTTGAAGAATGCATGTCGTAGTTCGCCTCAGACCTGAACAGGGCTATGAGCTCTTTGTCGTCCATGCATCCGTAAATGGTACGTTCGGAGATCTTGAACCCGTTCACATGCACAATAGGGAGAACCGCGCCAGATTCAGCGGGATCGATGTACTTGTACCCATGCCAGGCAGTGGCGGTCGGACCGGTTTCCGCCTCGCCGTCACCAACAACACAGGTAACGACAAGATGAGGATTATCCATGACAGCGCCAAACGCAACACTGAGAGCATAGCCGAGTTCACCACCTTCATGGATGGATCCGGGGGTTTCGGCATTGATATGGCTGGTATAAATGGTGAGATAGCCAACACCAAAATGTCCAAGTTGGCGAACCTTGGAAAACCTCCAGGAGCACTAAACTTTGTAATGAGCCTTGTCAAGCCAGTGCGATCACGCGTGTAAGGCTCCCAAAAGGGAGATAACGAGTCTTCGAGCCATAAGGACGCCAAGACAGCAGGTGCTCCGTGACCTGAAAGAAAGAGTTAATAACTGTCTTATGACAATCACGTGATGCACAGATAAGTATATGCGCTTTACGATCATGATATCGATGTGTGCGTGTATGCGTGTTGCATAACATACGGCGCAGCTAGAAGCAAGGTAAGGACATTTGACTCGCCTGGGCCGACCACCAGCAAGGAGTCGAGATCGGTCTTCTTAATGATCCTGTTGAGGTGCGCATATACCAAGACCAGGCCGGGGCAAGTACCCCAATGGCCAAGAAGCCTCGGTTTGATGTCATCAAAAGTCAACTGGCGGTCAAGCAGGATATTATCCTTCAAGAAAATCATCGCTAGCGACTTCATTTAATAAATTTTTTACGCGCTGAGGGTACTGACATACCAGCAGCAATGTAGTTGGCTGCTCGCCTGAACTTTTGGATTGCACGGAGTTCGGACTCCGTAAGGACATTGCTCGTGTCGAGTTGAACAGCATACCCGCGAATCGAGTCAGGGAGATGAGAGGGGTCTGGGGGAGGGTTTGGCTGGGCAATTATCTGGCCAGGCATTGTGTCGGACGAAGATACTGTCAACTTGAACAGGCTCTAGGTGTGTGGATTTCTGAATCTATCGTTTACACAAGTAGTTGTCGGTCGTGGTTGTGGTCGAAGGTGTGTTCTCTCCATCTACCCGTATTATAAGGAGCAATTTAAAGGGGCTCCCTGAATTGGAATTTGACGCAAGGGTTGATCATCGTTTGCTCTGACTCGGAATCTCGTTCGAGAGCTACTATGGACCTCAAGGTTAGATACTCTTCCGCGATATCAACTTTATTGTTGTATTCATTCTCGCAAGTCGACTTGGACCGTTGAGCAGTTCTACAGCGAAGCCTTGGTGATAGGGGCTGTCTAACCGTTTTTAGAAATTTTTACTCTCGGGCCTCTTCGACTCGCTGGAGGCCAGGCATATCTGAAAGCTGTAAATAGGCCATCGTACGCCATCTCTGGCGCTTATCTCCCTCGTAAAGGACATAGGTCATGGCTCACCACTGAAACAAGGATGGCCTTGAAATTCTGCCAGCAAATTGAACGTCGAAAGCTTCCATAACATTATCCCGCAAATTACAAAATCTACATATAAAGTACATCTTCAAGAAACGAGGCATGTGTTTATTAGTGCCATCAATGAGCTGGATGTGACGCAAAGTAAATATACTAGTAGATTAGATGTAAAAGCAATAATGTCCCCTCAGACCTCGAGTGATTCTGCGTGACATGAGTGACCTTTTAATAAGATAGATAGGAAAGCGGACTACTCACGGAACGGGCGTTTGCTCACAGTGCACAGGCGCTCTGCGGATATTACTCGAGTTCTTCACGCCCCCTCGAATGAATGAAGTCGGTCTGCCAGGAATGCGGTCCATTTTGTCGAACAATAAAGACTGTATGCTCCAAGTACTATGTCCGCAACTGCTTCAGTTGTTGTACCAATTCAGCAAGGTAAAAGTCGTTGCTCACCTGGGTAACCTTGAAAGCTGAAAATTTTTTGATAGTAGAACAAGAGAGTATTGGTTTTTGAAGACGAGACTTCCGCAGATGCCTTGTGAGATGACTGCAATGCGCACCAGGCATTTTATACTTCACACAGCGAGAAGGTGGATGGCATGGACAAGATATTAGATCATGCACTATGCGAGTAGCTATGTGCGATGGCTGGCTTGCTGCTAACGATATGGATGTATAATGAAGGCAAGTGAAGACCAAACCTTCTGTGAGACGCCTCTGAGACTGATTAGCGGGGTAGAATGTGAGATTTTTTGGATGATCACGGTAATTTGGCCACCCGTTCGACCTGGCTGTTGCTCCTTCGATTTGAGACTGGCGCACAGTTGTAATAATACCTCCTCTGATACGGGAAGCATCCGAATCGTAATACAGGAGAGCAATGTCTAACTCTCAACCGAGATTAGGGATATCAGGCTCCTTGCGTTATTGGTTGCGGCCACACTAGGCACTCGCCCATGCCGGGAAAACGAAACCTTGCAACAAATACAACGTGAAAAATCGGCCCCCAGAACCCCCATGCAGACCAGACCAACTGGCCAGGTTTAAAAAATCGCGCGTCAGACGAGAATGATGTAAACGTTATCCTGGCGAGCCAAATATAGCATGCCAGACCAAAAGATTGGCCTGCCACCAAATTAAGAGGGCCAATCACGATATGGCATATGGCAAGCACCGACAACCAGGAGTCTTGAGGAACGCATACAGGCCTCCGTATCAGGGCTCGCATTACCCACTCTGGGGACCACGACCTGAAATATCGGATATGAGGGATGGCATTGCTGGATGGTTGACAAGCTGTGGCTATAGATCTAATCGCATCAACACAGGAATGACTGCCATTACAGATATAATACAAACGTCTGCCTCACCCTTGACTAGTGAACCCGTCAGTGAACCCGCGGTGTGACCTGTGTGATGAGAGAAGTAGTAATAACAACACATAACAAAGTACTTACGATCGAGCACACTACTCATCTATATACAGCTACTGAGTCCCGAGATTCAGAGAGCCCAGCGCTCACCGGAGCCAGAAGACTTGGCAGAACACAATGCGTAAGCTATGCATAGCTCAGGCCTTGAAGCTCGATTAATTGATTCCATGTCCCCTTATCACACACCTCTATAGCACGTGTTCATATTGACGTGGTGCAGTGTGGATTCAGCGAGGATCGTTCTCAGAGTTCACATAAGTCGCACAAGGGCGTTGTCGTGGACGCGTAATACGCCGTCCTCTGTCCTCTCCCTACACATCCATCATGACTGGAACACTGAGCATCAGAATAGCGTATGCATTGACCGTTTCCCACGGATTTCTTCCACTTAGTCTCATATTTGCAGTATCATGGGACCCTCTGGAAGTGGCAAGACGACATGTGCGTCAGCAACAGCGAGAACTTATTTAGACAAACTACTGATCGACCACTCTCAGTCATCAATGAGGCCAGCGGATCTGACTTTGCAATCGGAAAAGGTCTCGAGAGTTGCACCAGTGAGGTGCAAGCAACGAACCCCTTCAAACTCAACGGCCGGGAAGTGACATTGATTGACACTCCCGGCTTCGACGATACCAGCCGCAGTGATACGGACATCTTGGCGATGATAGGAGCATACCTCTCGCAGACGTTTGTCTTCGTTATGATCCTTTTTCCTGTTCTGACCCAAATGATACAGATATGAACACGGTGCCAAACTTGCTGGCATCATCTACATGCACCGCATATCAGATTTCCGGATGGGAGGAACAAACAAACGGAATTTCAAGATGTTCCGAGAACTCTGTGGGGAGTCCACTCTGCGAAACGTGTTGATCGTGACAAATATGTGGAGTGAAGTTTCTTCTGAGCTTGGGGAGATGAGGGAGAAGGAGCTAGAGAATAATTTTTTCAAAGGAATCCTCGACAAGGGCGCGCGGATGTTGAGACATGAAGGCACGCGAGAATCGACGCACCGCACCCTACGATACCTGGTCCATAACCAACCCGCCACGCTCCTCATTCAAAAGGAGCTCGTGAACGAGCACAAGAATATCATACAGACATCTGCAGGATCTGAGCTGACGCGAGTTCTGAATGAGCAACGAGAGCGCCACGAAGAAGTAGTGGCTCAGTTGCGCAAGGACATGGAGGCAGCGATCCGAGATAAGGACCACGAAACGAGGGAGGAACTTAAGGATGAGATCCGGACCAAGCACGAACAGATCCTGAAGTTGCAAGGCGAAAACGAGCGGCTAGAGGCAGAGTTCAAAGCTGCCAAGGAGAGGCTCGAGGCCCGGATGAGCGCAATGGAAGAGAAGCATCACGAGCAAGGACAAACCGTAGATGCCTTGAAAGAACAGCTGGAGACGGAGAGAAAGGATAGGGAGAAGCTGGTCATCGAACAGGAACAGAAGGAACAGCGCCTGTGTCGCCTGGAAGAAGACAACGCAAAAGCTCAGGAATTGGAGCGCCTAAATAGCGTCCGCGAACTGAATAGACTTGCCGCTGTTCGTGCTGAGCTCCAGGAAGAGCTTCGCAAGGAAGAGCAGCAGAGCATAAAGGAGTCGCAAGTCGGAGGTGGCGGGCTAATAGAGGATGTGATCACCTGGGTGAGGTCGTGGTGGTCATGATGTGTATCGTGACAATATTTGTATTTATTATATATTAATTGTACTACTACCAACTGAGTCCTATCTCTGATGTTGATCCATTTCATTGGCAACTACATTTCGTACCTTGGGTATTGTTGACAAGTCATGGTTCACGTCTGCATCAACGAGCGCGAAGCTAACCCGAATCCGCACATCAATTTCGTCTCCGTTCTGCCTATAGTTGATGCCACCCTCGAGGATGACTCGGACACTCGGCAACCGTGACTTACTATGCGGGCGCTGGCTGCGGTGAGGCCTGTCATGAAGGCTCACAATTTCACTGTGAACAGCTTGGAAGAGGTGCGTATGTGACTAGGTTATGCATACTATGTTGAAATTGTCACGGTCTAGTACGAGTATAACAGAGTGTTCGCGGGGCGGAACTGGAGCAATATTGAGACAATTGGTACGCACACAACCACGGAATTACTTTAAAGAGCTCCACTGAGGCGGTATACGAAGTCCCGCTGCCTCCTATGGATGTGTGATGCTCAGGCTAACTAACGAGCGCTGTGGTCCTGGCTTCCTTATATGTTCGATGAGTGGCCCGCAATCTGCACCATGTCGTATTGATACAGTGCATCTGGAAGGAGGAAACAGCCTTCTCCAATAGGTCGTCAATCTCGAGATCCATTTCAGGAATGGCTTTCTCCCGACCCTTATGAAACGATGAACGTCCCTGGCGTGCGTGATGTGATATTGAAGTAGACGTTAGGCCGACTGAAAGCACATCAGAACGACGACATATAAAGGGGACCGCGGAAGCACGTACCTATCATCAGGAAATTTTCTCTTCACGATGAGCCCCTCCTCGAGTTGCGCATGGGTAAAGCGATATAGACTAAAAACCGCTGATTTCAATGACTTCCTCTCTTTGCCTCCAATCGTGTAACCGTGACGACACCCGCCCCAGTCGCGCTGCCCTTGTCCTTCGATGCAATCAGACGAACATTCTGGAGATGCGCCTTGTATTGCTCAAGCTGTGAGCACAGGTAAGCATTGTGGTCGCAGATCATTTTGTACTACGACCGCTTCCAACGACTTCGTTTCTAATACCACCTTCTCCCGCAGATTACCAAGGCGAGCGAGCTCAGCAGCAACCTCATCCTGCAAGAGCTTATAGCCATCCGCCGCTTCGGTGATATTTTGCTTCTCCAATTCACGAAGCATCTCCTTGACTTTAATTGCGCACAAGCGTTGCATCCTTCGTCGTAGCCACCCGTTCGGCAATCGCAGCCAGGTTGTACGGCCGCTTCTCGGCAGCGTGGGGTATGGAACGGATGAGCTGTACAAGAATAGAGTTGGTTTCCATGTACAGCATGTCGCTTGTTGATACCCAGTCCATCAGATCGCTCTGGATATCCTGTGCAGGTGTTTCCCAGCGACTGTACAGATTCAGCTCGATGGCACGATTCTCCTTTCGTGGAACTTGTGATAGGAGCGGGTCCGAGTTCATCATTCAAGACACGTAAATGCTGCTTGTCGTTTTGGGACTGGAGCACAGAAACTAGTATGAGGGACAAGTAAGGTATGCTTGCGAGAGTCTCCACGTGCTGTGAAATCAAAGAGTGGGTGTTGGTGATCCAGTGAATCATAAGGTCTTCCTTGGATAGAGCCATGTATTGGTCTATCTAAGATACAACGTTAGTTGACATGAATGATGAGATATACTCAAACGTACTTCAAGAGTGTCACAGAAATCTCGACTTCGCAGAGACCAGCTGTTGAAGAGCTCAAGGTGATGGTATAGAAGCTTCGCATACGAGGGCTTGGTCGCGCGCTAATAGTACGGGTACGTACCAGTACTTGTCAGGGATCTCGGACGTCTTCAACAAGTACATATGCTTGCCACTTGGAGTAGCCTAGGACGGAATATCAAAATAACATAGTAATTATGTAACCTATCGAAGGATTCAGATGCCGACTAGTCGGACCTTGGTTCCTTCAAACAACTTCCAGGGAGTGTGTGCGCATAGGGTTGGAAGTCTTCAAATTTCAAACCTTGAGCAAACACACTCAGTTCGAACACCCTCACGGCATATATTTCACAACGAAAAGACCCCAGACTCTACCTGACATGTTCGCTTCAGTTTAACGTTGCAGCCATCATCGAGCGATGTATATAATGGCCTCAACATATCCTCACTTCTCGCATATTTCCCTTCCCTTACGCCCCTTCTATCTTCAGCTTCAGGTTTATCGGTTCGATCTTCTCCTCTTCACATTTTGACATGTTAGCTTATCTCTTTCTCGCATTTTTAGCATATTAGCTCTCCTTTATCAACACTGTAACAAATGCAGACTTGACAACTATATATATAAGATTCACCTCCCTGATACTAGTTATACTAACTCAATGCCTATGGTCATCTCCACCGGTTCCACCGTCTATGCGTCGTCCATTTCAAGCGGAATGTGCTCGCTTCGAACACATATTTCGAAAGACGCTATGCTAAGCCTTTTTGTGTCGGAAGCACAGCCAGATTCGCAAAGGACCTTTGAGATCATCAAACCAGGGTGGTAAGGACAAGGCCGAAACTAATAAATTTGCATTGCCGCCCTATACCGTCTGCAAGCTTTATACCCAAAAATATGGCGCGCATGTCCAGCTACCACCAACGGCACCGAACAAGCTCACCACAATGTCAATCGTTACGGCGTGAACTTGACACTTCTAGGTGGCATTATGAGAGGACAAGCCTTTGACGGTTGAGCAGCGCAGAGCATCGATATTCATGTGTCTCTGGGCATTGGCACTCGTGATCGTGATTCCGCTCACGCTTACCGTGCATCGAAAAGTATCACTCGTCAAGGTATGTATCTTCATTCACACCATTCAATTTTTAACAGCGACTTACCCTTATCACAGCGCCGCCATGTCACGCAAAATCCAGTGGCACAACCCGCAGGCAATGGGCATTATGCACTGCAGCAACCAGCACCCCGAAGAATCATACGATTCACGCCAGTGCCATCCTGCATACTTGCTAATACCCTTCGACCAGACATCAAAGGAGTACCGGAGCCGTGTCTATCACCGCACCATACTGTACGACGACTCGCTAGTTCCACTCCACCTCACCCGTGTTCCCATCTTGCAGCTCAGTACTCTCGATGGTGCACTTTGTGGATGATGACATATTAGCTTGGGCGAGTACTTAGACTGAAGAGAATATGATACACCGCCACCTCGTCATGTTAAACATACTTCGTCAATGTTACTACTACATGCTAGGACACAAAATAACACAACGTCCGGAGATTAAGTGCCACGTCAGCAACGAGGGTGGTAATGGAAACAGTACGAAGTTGAAGGAGAGACATCAAGACTGACAACAGAATTCATGGAGCAAGCCTCATGTGGGAAGTGAGGATATATTGAGGCCGTTATATATTGCTCGACGATGGCTACAACATTATGTAAGTTGAAGCGAGTAGAGTCTGGTGTTTTTTTCATTGTGATCATTCTGTTTGCTCAGGGTTTGAAATTGTTTGAAGGAGCCGAGTAAAGATAACAGTTACAGGGTACCAGGAACCGAGGATTGGTCTACCTGGTCTATAGGGGGGGGGGGGGGGTGTCACGTCACCTTAGTAGTTCATTACCGCTTATCTGTTAATCATTAACTAACTTCATTCGGACCGAGCCTGGCCTGAAGAATTCGAAGTCTCGCCGTTCGAGAATGTTCGTTGGGGTGATGCCCTATATGGCAGAGTAAAACATACTATGAAATGCTACGTGCCTTCTATGAGTCACGTTTATGCAAAGTTGGTCCAGGCATGACGCGAGCACAGTTAAAGCCAGTTGCGATAGGGTCTAGGTGCATCATTCATACTCCTTCAAGTTCATCGTCGTCTGCAGGTGGTGTGACATCTCCAAATATCTGTTCCAGTCCGTGCGTGCTCGCGAGCAAAAGTTTGATGCAGCTTCGATCGCTCTGTTCAACATATTCTTGAGATGACTAGCTCAGGGCCTAGTTCATTGTGGTGCATAGTCCTGTCTTGCATAAACTGAGCAGGCGATCGGGAAGTGGTGGACGGTTTCTTCTTCGCGCTGGTGGCATTATTGGCAGATAGGACTTGGGACTTTCGCGATGCGATGCGATGGATGTGATCAGTGGTGCGTGTCCAGTGCGAAGCTGAAAGAGAACGGAAGAGTACGTTGTCACAGTGGTTCGGCTACTAATGCCTTGATGGGGGTCGTCCGCGTCAATGTGGAGGCGATCAATGTAGCGCGGGTCGGCGGTATATTATATTAAATATTTGATTGACAAATATTGTTTGGCTCTTGTTTGGCTCGGGATCTCCCGCATGGAGCCGCAGGGCCCACCCTTGATAATGCCCCTGTACCCTCTTCTAGGGTACAGAAATGTCTTTGGAACCCAGGTTGGCGAAGGCCCAGACTTGTCCGGATAGAATGGGTTCTGGCTGATCCTTCCCTTCCCGTGATATATATTATCAGGGGTGGAGCGCACTTTGGATCTGCGATAAGCGGGGATGCTGGTGACGTGACAGCCATCATCACGCGTCACGGTTTGTCAAATAGCCAGCCGTATACTATACGTAATTCAACGTTCGAATATTCAGTCTGCGTTATGTTTCTGGTTCCTGTCACTGCATCTCATGACCATGAGATCCGTTCCGGGAAGCATGAAGTGGAATCTGTTCGCGGACTGAATTGAAGGATCTGAGTCGTCTTGCCAAGTATGTAATCGCAATATCCCCTCTGAGCACTAGTACTGAGTCTTACTACTAGTAGTGTGAAGCGTTCAACAATTGTTGAACGTTGAGCACTTGTCACTAAGCATTGGATGGATCCTTAGCTAGTCGACATCGTGTTCCATTTATTGAGATTCAGATCGGCATTCTCGTGAGGGCGAGACGAATCTGAGATCATACGCATGAATCACATAAGTTAGTAAAGCCTTTGACAATTGTTTTTTTTTACGTTTCCAGCTAATTCACGCACTGGAAGGTTCCCCTTATAGTAAGCCGCTGAGCTCGCGCATTTCCACACTTCATACGGCGACATCATTATATGGAACAAATTGAGACACGGTCTCGTCAAGATCTCAGAAAGAAGTACAAGATGCACCCGGGTGCTCGTGGATTTTGGCAAGTTTCCATTTCTCCGCAATCCGACCCATCACACATTTACCGTTATATGGACGCAGCCTAGTCGAGTTCTCAGAAAAAATTGCTTGATCTTTGGCAATTCATTTCCTCGGGTTGCGACCAGCTAATTAACACGCCTGCAGGTTCCCCCGCTATACCATAAGTGATCTCGCTCATTTCCACCTATCGTGCGTCCACCGTTTTCTTATAGAAAAAATTAGACACGGCCCCGTCAAGTTATCAGAAAGAAGGTGTATATAAAACAAGGGGTCAAGAGTATGTCTAGCTATGCCCACAACTTTTATTCTGACTATGAACAATTTCCCTGACTTTACACTCATCGTGACTGAATTCCCACACCATGGGGAACTCTCCAGGTAAAAGCCGCGACTTGTAGATTTGGACCTGGTATTCATGTCATATTTTCACAGATGCTTATTGCCTCATTGTCCATGCAAATCTACGAGCCCGCAGAACGCCGACGTCATAGACATTGAACCCAGCACCGCCATTAGCGCGCAGGATGCTGAGGTAGAAACTCTAGTGTATCGCTGCGCCTGGGACACCCAGCACTCTCCCTGCAAGATGTTCATCGAAGGCACGCACAGACAGATTCTCTCCCACCTCCGCCAACGCCATGGTGTAGTGCATAATGGCAATGAGGAGCTCCAATGCCTTTGGAGCTCATGCTCGACAGACGGACTCTTGAAGATGGGTAGTTTCGCAAGGCACATTACAAGACATCTGGGTATCCAGTTCAGGTGCTCGCAATGTGAACTCGTCATGGCTCGTGACGATGTCGTTCGCGCACATATCAGAAAGATTATTGGCTGTACTGATGCTGCAGTCGAGCTGGTTCCCGGACCAGGAGCCCGTCGGATAGTCTCAGCGTAAAGGGGATCATTGTATATCGTCTGGTGAGGTGGAGCCCTGTGTTGGACAATACGTACAGTATGTAAGATTATCTAGTGATGTACATGCGGTTTGTGCTGGGTGTTACTATAATATTGGTCCAAGCTTTCGCGAGGACGATAATCGCTGTCTGAAGCCATTTTGGGTGTTCGGTGGCTCCACTCTCTCTGCGGTCTTTCTTTTTCTCTGGGGGATACGTCTCCGAAGGTGTTGATGAAGCGGCGAGTATGTGCGATGAATTTGAATAGCGGTTTGCAAATTTGACGCATTTCTCGTCATTCAGGAGGTATTTCAGCTGCTGCGCTCTGGTTCCTAGTTCCATCCGCATGGCGTGTCACTGTCTTGTATATGCTGGGCATACTAGCAGCTAGTAGAAGACTCCCTTTAGCATTAAGGGGGATAGTACCCAGCAGCAGGTCGTTGCGGTCAATACAAAATGCTCACCCACAAGGGCCGTGTGCTTGGACGCTGGTCGATATGTGGCAGCGTAACACGACCATTCTAGAAAAGAGCGTTCAACACGAGGCTGATACTGGCAATCATGGAAAGTACACACCAAAGTAAGTCGCAGCCCATACTGCCATGTCATAAATACATCAAAACTAGACTATTGTCCATAAATACTGATACATGTTCATGGGTAATTGTCCGTTGTCCAGCTGGATGTATCCTGAGGGAGAATCGGCCGCATCAGGGAAGCCCTCGGTGCTTGCCATGCCTACGAAGCACCACCTAGAAATAGCATGCGTTCGAATCTGGCTGTCAATTCTTCGCTCCTTCAACTGGTGGCTGTGACAGAACGGCTCTGAAAATATACAAGGGGAACGTAATCCCGCCCTCCACACTCCAGATTCCAACCGTTCATAACGCGTCGTTCAACCCCAGTGAAAATCGAACGGACGCCCTCACACGGAGATGGATGGAAATCGATGGAATCTAAAAAGTTCGGTGTCTGTAGATGAGCGTCGACAAATGGCGCGTTCCGTTGATACTCAGATGACTGGTCACAGTAGCGACGCTGATTGACGCCAGTCTAAGAATCGAGGAGTTAGATTTCCGTAGATTTGAATAGATGGTTCGCATCCTCTGGTTCTCAGAAAGTATCGACGCAAATTGACGGAAAACAATACATTTCGAGGATCGCAAAGCAACAAAACAACCGTAAAATTGGGCTACCAGCATGCACACCCGTTTGTGTTACTAGCTCCTCAGCCCTCCTACCCGCCTGCTGATGATACCTGGCTAATGTAGTGTGCCAAGAGAAAACATCGCGAGAGTTTCGACTATGTTTGCGGTCCACACACAGTCGGCAACCTAGACATAACACATAAATAATTGCACAATACGGATAGTAATAGCCACAGTAGTACTTACTAGACCTCGATGTTGTAACTCCGCAGATGGTAAGTGTTAGTGCAATAAGACTAGAACATGGGATCAAAGGGATGAACAGAATATTGATTGACGTATCTTCTCGAGTGAGTCCCAGTACGCCTTGAACTTTGGCAAGGAGCCGTTTTGTATCAGCCCCTTCACCAGGGATGGCCCTGAAGGAAAATATTTGAGTTGTCGGAAGACAAAACAGGGCATTAAAAAGAGCGAGAATGATGTGCCCGCTGTACGTAACAGTGAGCACGAAAAGGCGGGCATTGCCGCCAGCATATACGGACATGTTACCGATGTCTGAGTGCGCTGATGGGCCCTAATATTAGTTCAAAGAAGTAGCGCAGAGTTGTGCTCTCCAAGGAAACCACCGATTGACCACACACAGTCATCAATGAAGCCAGTGGATCTCCCTTTGCAATCGGAAAAGGTTTCGAGAGTTACACCAGTGAGGTGCAAGTAACGAAACCCTTCAGACTCAACGGCCGGGAGGTGTAAATGCAGAGGCAGAGCTTAAAGCCGACAAGGAAAGGCTCGAAGCTCGAATCAGTATTTGAATTTGATACTTTATTCGCACATACCATCTTTTTACTGAGTAACTCGTGCTGTCTGTCTAGTCTTCCTTGAACTCGGCCTATACACTAAAAGAAATGACACGGCACAACCACAGAGTACGTGTCACAGAGTCGACAATGTGAGTCAGAAGAGCCATTACTGCTGAGACAAGTCAAAACGAACCTGGCGAGGCGACGATAGAAGAGACGCAGACTCCAAACCATTCGCTCACTGAAAGCCCCACTATAGGAAACCAGATTCAGATGGCAAGAGCGCCAATATCTCGACGAAAAAAGTGGCACTGCATAGGTCACTTGCTAGTGTAGCTGCGGAACAGCCAGTCACCTATTAGGAATAACGACTGTCTTCCTTCTGTTGTGGTTTGACTAAGGGAAACTAACACTCACCCATCCGGAGTGTGCACTAAGCCTAACACGCAGAGTATATCGGAGAAGTTAGAACGTGGTGCCAAACCTCCGAGTCGCGCATAGTAGTCAATACACTCTGCTTCGAAAGAGTATTGAAGTCCCAGGAGCAACCCAGGAGTGCACACTGCATCCGTCCAATAAGTTGAGAACCAAATCATATGTAACGATAATTGCAGGTGCACCGAGTCCACGACCCATGACTACCATTCTACGGGACGTGTCACAGCGTGCAACAGAGCGCGCCAGTGACTAGCCTCAAGAACTGGAGCGTCTAAATAGTGTCCGTGAACTGAATAGACTTGCCGCTGTTCGTGCTGAGCTCCAGGAAGAGCTTCGCAAAGAAGAGAGCACGAAGGAGTCGCAAGTCGGAGGCGGCGGGCTGATAGAGGATGGGTGAAGTTATGGTGGTCCACGATAGTGTAAACCGACGATATTTGTATTTATTAATTGTACTACATAATCATCTTACGATTATAGTAGTGCCTCCTTCTGATGTTCACCTGCTTCATTGACAAGTACATTTCGCACCTTGGGTATTGTTAACAAGTCATGGTCCACGTCCGCATCAACGAGCGCGAAGCTAACCCGAATCCGCATGTTAATTTCATCTCCGTTCTGCCTATGGTCGATGCTACTCTCGAGGATGACGCTCGGCAACTTATGCGGGCGCTGGCCGCGCAGGTGAGGCCTGTCATGAAGGCTCATGGTTTCACTGTGAACAGCTTGGAAGAGGTGCGTATACGAGCGCTTCCAGTGTTCCTAGATTGGGTATACTACGTTGAGACTGTCTAGTACGAGTATAACAGAGTGTTCGCAGGGCGGAACTGGAACAATGGAGAGACAATTGGTACGCACACTACCACAGAACGATCTTAGAGAACTCTACTGAGGATGTCAATGCAGAGCTGGTTCTAAAGTCTGCTAGCGGTTCATTTGTACCAATTCACTGGCTTATGAGCACATTGTGCCATGAAGTGAGTCTTCCTCTGCGACTTGTGTGACAAGTTGATTGACACTGGACGCGTTTGTCGCGCGTTAGCTCGCCCACATAAAGGTCAGTCATACCGATTTGCAACTATTCGGCACCTTGACACGCGATGCAGCACATGAATCACGGACCTGCTTTCCAAGCCCTCTGGCGACAGCTACGCAATGACGTCCGTGCCCTCCAAAACAGGGAATATTATGGCGACGGTACGCACCACAACCAAGCTTCTCATGCATACACCTCATCAGTCCCCAGGCTATTGGTCCTCGGGAACCAGATTAGCAGATTCCGCGAAAATAGCCGGCCAAGGCATTGAAACAGGAGACCTTCCTGAATACATGGTCGGTCCTCCTCCATCTTTCTCATCTATGTCTCTCAGATAGTGCAAACAGTGTGGTGGTGCTCACTCACGCGCCCGACCTGCCTCCTACCAACGACGCAAAAGGACTGCTAAATTTAATGGGCCCTCTGTGCACACAGGTGCCCAATCCGAAAAGAAACGCAAGGCCGGCTCCAGGATTACCAACGCTAATGCATTCGTTTCGGGTGGAAAGGCACTGAACGAGGGTGTCATTGGCGAGACGAAAGAAGCCGGCACGGGATTTAGGAAAAAAGCTGGAAGGTATGTATTTTGCCTGAGTCAAATAGCGGGGGCTCATGCATCATTGTTGGTTAGTAAACGCGCTCGGGAAGAACGTGCACTTGCTGCCGAGAGACGTATGGAGACGCTCAAAGGTTGGTTTTGTCTTCCCCTCATTTCGTCAGGTGATTCACTTTCCGCTTCGGCTGCATTCGTCTTTTCAGCATCAGCGTCCTCCTCGCGTCAACCTACAACAGATTCAGAATCCGAACCCGATGCTGAACCACTAGAAACAGATCAAGACCGTCGAAGAACCATGCTTGAATCCCTTGGCGGACAGGAGCTCGACGAAATGAAAGCAGCCAGATATGATTTTTCAGACGACTTTAGACTTCCCGGAGAAACTGGCGGTAATTCATGCAGCATCCACAAAATTGAACGTCCCGAAGCTGCTGTGTCGACAGATGCGCAGCCCGATTCATCGACCCGACCTGGCAAGCATCGGCGTGTGGAGGACGAAGAGGTATCTGTCACCAAGAAATTACGGATTTCTGGTGCTCCTAGACCTGGCAAGACAGAAGATCAGTCGGACAGCTGGAACTGTCTTGTGTGTACCCTGTACGTCTTCTTCGAGATGAGGTTCAGGTCGATGGAATTAATTTGATCGTGTCATCAGTGCCAACGTGCCTGAACACCTAGCCTGTTCTGCCTGCAGCACCCCCAGGGGAGATCCCCTCTGGGTGGGCAGAAGCTCGTGAGCATCGGACTTGGACCACCACACCAGTATACCCAATCATGCCGTTTTTTATTGTGACACTACAGTGATTAGGTGCATGAACTACAACGGATAAAGTTCGGGTTAAGATGACAAGTACTGAATGTTATGAAGAATGTATAATGTTCAGTGTCAGGATGTAATGAACGATCAAAATAGTCCATGAATGGTATACCATAAAGCTAGTACGCAACAAAACAAATAATGTATTGTATGCAAATAATCCCTAAACGATCCATGTGCAAGCGGCCAGAGTGATTAGCATCGAAATAGCCAGCCCTACTCCCGGAACGCTCCGAGAGGCAGCACCACTCCAACCAGGGGGGACGCCTAAAGTAACTGACGGTTGCGAGATGTGAGATGTTGATGTCACCACTGCACCGTTCGCATTCGTAACAAATAGTGTATATGCACCAGTCACCTGAGGGAGGGCGGTGGCGTTAACGGCAAGTGTCCCCATGAGGGGACTGTACGTGCTCGTCGCGAGCTCGGATTGCACAATCTCGCCATAGACGGCTGGAACCGATGTGTTAAACGCGTACGACGGCGTCGTGTAAGTGGGTGTAGAGAGAACGAAATTGGGTAGAGTGGTAGCAATCGTCACAGAAAGGGAGGATTCGACAACTGAAAAAGGCTGTACAGGTGCTGAAGCGTTGTTGCAAGGATACAACCCAATCATCGGGGGCTCCTGGTCGTCGATTCCATAACTACATGGAAAAACTGATGAACACTGCCTAGAAATATTTCAAGAGATTGAATATACCTCCATATCGAATAGACAGTTCGCAAAAACGGAGTTCCTGGATGAGTGAAGCGGTTAGCAATATGAAGCGACACGCAAGTATACCGTAGACCATCGTACCTAACAACCAATCGACTCCATCGGCACTGGGAGGTGCAGCTTGGGGCCAAGATAAACAGAGGTCCGGGTTCCCTTCAGCTGGGCCAATAATGTAATCGGTAGGTTCCAAAACAAACGTAGTTCCATCCCTGGAAGAAAGGTTTTAGCATGTAAACGGGCTATTAACCAACCGCTAGTCACCCAAAGCTGAAGGATATTGTTGCTGAAGAGTCGCAAGGTATGGCCCATTGGCCACCTTCAGTATCATTGCTTTGTCAACTCCAGCAGTATCCAGGATACTATGGTGACTTACTCTCGTCAACTAGGCGGCTACTGGGAAATGAACTGTACAATCGTGTTACCTAGAAGAACATTAATATTGGTCGGTTGATAAGAAAGTCAGGAGCTGACATCTTGATATGGGCCATACAGTCCTGGAGTGCCGCTGTAGCAGAGTTAAGCGCGCACATGGATAAGTTGTTGACTACTTACACGTCCAAAAGAGCAATCGATGAATTGTCACTTGGGCCAGGGTAGGTCGGTTGAGGGGTGTATCGAGTTCCGTTGACCTTGCAAAAAATAAGTATCATACCACACTATAATTGCAAGATCAATAGCCTCACCGCAAAACTGCTCATACGAATCGCCCAATAGAAATAGCCAGACGTATTGGTTTGCGTACCGACCGGAGAGAAGGGTACAACCTCGTTCCATACAACCTGGCTAACGTTTTGCACGACAGATACATCGATGGCCCCTGTTCAACACAAAGACATGAGTATCGTAAACCAGGCGCCCGGCAGAGACTCACCGAGGGCAAACGTTCCGGTTGCATTTCTTGTAAGACTCAGTCCAAAAATCGGATAGTCCAGTATGCCTTGCTGAGCCAAGGTCGCAAAAAACGGCGTGGCTAGAACGGACCAGATCCGTGAGTCTGGCGCCCACAACGTTACGCAACTAACGTACCGCCTGCAGCACTCGCGGATATCTCTGACTGTCGTGAGAATCCTAAGCCGAGGATACCGCTGACCTCGCTGACTAGCGTGATGTTGGAATCCGTTACAACGCCTGCGGAGATGTGAGCGTGGAGTGTTTCCAGTCTGAGTCTAGCCTTACCAAATGCCTGATTTGCGACCGTCACGTTTGCAACTTCTACAGTCTCTCTGGCAACGAACCCAGATGCACCTTCTCACACCATCAGCATCGGAGTGGTTTGAGCGGATTATCGCACATACCAGTCCCATCAGCGTAGTCAACGGTGAAAGTGGTCTCGTTATTGTTGATGGACACGAACGTGGGACTGTCATAAGTGAGAGGGTATCTTGGCACAGACATGCATGTACTATTAGTACATTCCGTGGAAGTGAGCCAGAAGTCGGCAGAACCTGCAACACACTTTTCATATGGAGTTTTATTGTCAAAGAAGCATGCATCATACCTGTATCGAGGGCAGCTCGGAAGCTTATCTGACCAGCCTGGAGAACAACGTAGTATGTCCTGGCACGATGGTCTGGTAAGAAAGATGAATATTTGAGGTATAACTCACCCGTCAACAGCGATGGATACCGGCGAGATTCCAAAGGCGTTTAGTGCAGTTAAGTTTGACGCCTGACCAGCAAGCAGGGTAGGTCCATCCTGCAAGGATGTACTTGGAAGATTATAGGTACTTGCCGCGAGAGCATTTTCGAACTGCAGGGCAAAGTTCAGAACAAGAAACAGGACGACCGTCGCCAACCGATTCATTATGCGCTCTTCAAAGGAACCGATGAGTCGTCTACCAGTGCAACATTCGAGCACTGCAAAAGCTCGAGTGGGAAAGACAAGGAATGAACCTCGGGTGTTGGAACTTTGTCACGACGACGAAATGATTAGGCTGGACCAGACCTCGGCGGCATGCCGTGATCGCTACACGTCACATGTTCACTATAGAGTAGAAAAACAGTTATTCAGACATACACATAACTACACAGAGTAATACATCTACATCCGAAAGAAATCAAAGAGTCATAGGAGGTGACAGGAAGAGGTTATAGAGTAAAAGAGACTAGAGGTAATGAGCGTCACAGTGGTATCACAAGAATGGATAGAACATATAAAGATGAATGTCTTAAAGATAGGTAGAATAGGATCATCATGTCACCGCTTGGCAAACACCTTTTTCAGCAGGGCTAGGACCTTCGGTACGTTCAGCTGAACGTACTCTAAATCCAGTAAGTGTTTGTTGTCTTTTTGCTGTTGACGAGGTGAGTATTGATAGTGTGCATCTGGAAAGAGGAACTAACCTTCTCCAACAGGTCGTCAATCTTTAGATCCATTTCAAGGATGGCTTTCTCCCGACCCTTGTAGTGCAATGAAATGATGAACGTCCCAGGCGTGGGTGATGTTATGTTGAAGTAAATGTTGGGTCGACTGAAAACAGGTCAAAATACCATATAAAAAGGAATCGGGGAAGTGCGTACCGGTTATCAGGAACATTACTCTCCACAATGATCCCTTCCTTCTCGAGTTGCGCATGCGTAAAGCGATACGGGCCAAGAACCGCCGACTTCGATGGCTTCCTCTCTTTGCCTCCAACCGTGACAACACCCACTCCAGTCGTACTGCCCTTGTCTTTCGACGCAGTCAGACGAACATTCTGGAGATACGCCTTGTATTGCTCAAGCTGTGAGCGCAGGTAAGCATTGTGGTCGCAGATCGTTTTGTAAACCGCTTCCAACGACTTCGTTTCTAATACCACCTTCTCCCGCAGATTACCAAGGTGAGCGAGCTCAGCAGCAACCTCATCCTGCATGAGCTTATAGCCATCTGCCGCCTCGATGATATTTTGCTCCTCCAATTCACGAAGCATCTCCTTGACTTTAATGCCTTTGCGCACAAGCGTTGCATCCTTCGTCGTAGCTGCCCGTTCAGCAATCGCAGCCAGGTTGTACGGCCGCTTCTCGGCAGTGTGGGGTATAGAACGGATGAGTTGTACAAGAATAGACTTGGTTTCCATGTACAGCATGTCGCTCGTTGATACCGAGTCCATCAGTGCACTCTGGATATCCTGTACAGGTGTTTCCCAGCGGCTGTACAGATTCAGCTCGATGGCACGGTTCTCCTTTCGTGGAACTTGTGATGGAGCGGGTCCGAGTTCATCAGTTAAGATACGTAGATGCTGCTTGTCGTTTGGGGACTGGAGCACAGCCGCATCAGAAACTGGTAGAAAAACAAGTAAGGTACACTTACGAGAGTTTCCACATGCTGTAAAATCAAAGAGTGGGTGTTGTACAGCTCGTTCATGGTGATGTGGATCATGAGGTCTTTCTTGGATAGAGCCATGTATTGGTCCATCTAAGATACAACGTTAGTTGACACGGATGATATGAGATATGCTTGGACGTACTTCAAGAGTCTCATAGAAATCCCCAACCTCGCAGAGACTGTTGAGGAATTGGTTGATCCGTGCTTTATTATTTTCTACAAAGGGGTTCAGAGTGATCATGTAGATCTCCTTCGCATACGAGGGCTTGTTCGCAAGGTTCTGCAGCATCTTCGCAATCTGATGAGGTAATTTGCTAGCTAAGAGCGTGAAAATGGAAGGTCTGATACGGGTACGTACCAGGGTCAGTGTTCGGCGAGGGTGTTTAGCTGGGACGCCTTCAACGAGCATGTATGCTTGGGGGGTGACAATAGCAGGATTGATGAACCGTAGAAAGAAGAAGCCTCCAATTAATGAGCAAATAGCGTAATCAGTTGCCTCAGGATACTTTCGCTGTGACACACCGAAGGATTAATGTCAAATGAAGGGAAGACGAAAGCGAACCGACCCGAGTCAAACTTCGGATCTGCTTGCAGATCCATCGAATACCATACGGCACACTTTCCATACTTTCTATTATGGTTACGAGGAAGCTATTCGCGATTTCCATTAGCATAGTAAGCCGTGGTGCAATGATAGCTTGAACATCGGCGTTCTCGGCGGCGACCTCTGGAGGTACTCCGCGAGGTAGGTTGGGCGGTAGTGTACCTGTTTCTTCTTCTATTTGGTTTATCATTTGCTCGTACACCTGTATGCGGGTTAGAGATCTCAACGTGCCTCTCGGCACCAGTTGTGGCTTACCTTTACAGGATTGATTTCAAGGTTCAAGTCTTTGTGTTCTATCAAGCTATTGATGCGTTCTGCCAATACCCCCTTGAGATAACTTTGCCCAGGACCTCGTCGGGTGTAAGTAGTCATCATTCGGGACACAGGAGTGTTAGCACGCAGCAGCGACCCAAACTCGGTTGCTGTCTCAAATTGCGCAGACAACACTGACTGGAACATCGTTAAAAGAAGATGCTCCTCACGACTCTCGTATTGATTTCCATATAGCGTGAACATGACCGTCTGCAAGAGAGTGTCGATCTCTGACAAGCTGACAAGTCGACATAGTGCAGCAATGTGACGGGGTTCAGACTGAAGAAGGAAGAATAGGTTGGAGTATTGTTGCAATTTTCGATCATCGGGGTAATGGCCTTCGGTTGGATCAACTTCTTCCAGCGTCCGTTCCACTTCACGTTGCTAACCCATATAGGTGAGCCGAAATATAGAATTCAACACAGCATTAGGACACGGACCTCATCAGCGGCCATACGATTCTGAATAAGGAGAGCGATGCGAGAGTCAAGGTAACGGACGTCACGCTCGAGCACAAAATTTTTCTTGGACTGGGCGGATATTTTGCTCTTGAGGTCACGAAGGCGTTTTTGTGCTGTGTTACAAGGCCATCGAAATAAGGACATGTAATGTATAATTTAGACGCACCTCGAGCAAGGTCATCCTCCACTTCAACATCCTGCTCTGCGGCCATGCTGAAAAGGGCGGTAACACTATAGCGATTTGTATTCCTGTTCGTGAGCCTCCTCCCCATAACTGCGCCAGGGGAGGTTGGTTGATCGACATAAGACATGATGAGTTGAGAAAAAGGCTGTTGATCTTTGGATCGTGAAGCGAGGACCTATATAGGTTTTGAAGTCTGCCCTACAGGTGTGGAGAGATTTCCTAGATTCCTAAGCTAGCACCGGCGCAGCCTGGCAACAAAAACAAGAGGCCTGTTGGATATCGAATTTTGTGGGTATCAACAAAAGAAAGAAAGAAAAAAAAAGAGGATGAAGGCGGAGGAAGAAGGCAATGCGGGGAGATGACGAAGAAGACAATATAACCGCCAGTGCGGCGCGTAACACAACTGCAGCTGTGGCAGGACCAACGAAACGCTGAGAATATCTAGCAGGTGGCGTAAAATTACTATAAACGTATCAAAGTTGAATCAAACTAATTTGAAGCTTGGTGAACAACATCCACTCTGGTTAGTACATTCACAACCCTCATAATCCGTTTCACATCTTTTGCTGATTTAGAACAACACGTTTCACATCACAGATCTATATGTCACTGATCTGCGTTACACCCAAAATATTCCCTCAGTGCCTTACACAGATTCAGGTGACTGATAGATAGTACACTACCCAGGTCTTCAAGCTCATGCATCATGCCCGGCGCGCTCAATTGAATGTTGAGCATTGATCAGTGTCAAACTCGATTTCATTAACGTGTTAAATCGTACTGAAGCGATTATAACCTACCAAAATTTAGCCGCATTGATATTCGGCCACGGGTGAGCTTGTCACTCTTAGCGAGCTTGATTCATGAAAATGATATGTCATTCCTCGGCTGCCAAGGATTGTTCAATTACGGCCATGCCTCGTCACTCGAGATGCACGAAAATGGCCAGGTTCTCCTGGCGTACCATACCTAGACGGTTCTCGGGGTTATGTTCAGCACATTCCGCTTCGCCGCTCAGCACAGTGAACCCACAGGTTGTCAGTGTGTCTCACAATGGGGAAATGCGGAGCCTCCTCGTGGCTCTTCGTGGTCAATAAATGATTGATAATCGTATCCGAATGGAACCGTGCTGGCGTTCTTCGCGGGATGTCAAGTTTGGCAATCCGCTGTGCTGACACTGGAAGTGAAACTCATTCTCGCTGGCCCTCGCACATCTATGACATTCCCAAATGCGGCAATTGCCGCAAGGCGATTGTGACACGCCTATACTTATCTGCTCTTAAATATCAACCCTTTCTTTAATCCGACGTCCCCCGAATGTCATTTTAGGGTGTCGCTACGGGCCGTTGCGTGCACTCTAACATGGTCCGTTTTGAAATTTGTAATGATAAGAGTTCTCATATTCCTTTCTGGTGCAGTTTTGGTCGGGTGTCTTCCGTGACCCAGGGTGAGATCGAACACCATGTCAATTCTTGCACAGCGACGACACCGCACTGCCTTCATCCCCGTAGCAACATGCAATCACATTGTTCAGAAGCCACAATGTCGTCGCTAGAGGTAGGGACGTTTGGCAATCCTGTGGAATCCAGAAAACCCAGGTTGCCACCAATCACGACAATTGTCAGTCTAGGGTCAACAACCATTAATGGTACATTCAATGACATCTTATTGAAGCGAGAGCCAGGAAAGATGCTCTCCACTGTTTCTCGATCACAGACTTTTCTGCACTAGGAGTTCTAACTGCCAAATCGATTTACAATGGCCGCCCATGAACCTAAGCGATGGCATTATGACGCATTGATCCACGATGCTTCATTACATATTATAGTACGTATGAGAGAATTTGGTCAGTACTCATTAATATTGCCATCATTCTCGTGCTTGGCAGATATTGAATAAATACTAGGTTGACGGTGCCACTTCGTATCCTTTGAACTTTTCCGCCGATGTGACCTAGGTGTCATCTGACAGCCTGTCTCAATTGCACAGAGTGAAATCGCGCCAGGCTTGGCCCGAAGTCGGTTGAAGAACGCATCCACGAGCCAAACTGTTGAACCTTTTCTCAAGTCTGCGGAATGATATTAAGTGGTGCTCGGATATCTTCAACCTCCGTAAACATGCACCAGCCAATCACCCCCCTTCTCGTTATTCCGACCGTACATGTGTGTGGCTCGCGCTTAAAAATGGCTGTCCCGACACTCCAAATCATATAAATTGGGCCCAACATATCGGTTCTATCTATCCAAAGTCCTCTCGTCTCTGTACTCATCTCATCGTCATGTCCATCAGGTAAAAATTCTTTACTTGTAAATCTTTGGCCCAATGTTCAACATTTTCTCAGATGTTTCTTACCCCATTGTCCATGTGAATCTACGAGCCCGCAGAACTCCGTCGTCATAGATGTTGAGCCAAGCGCTGCCGTTAACGCGCGGAATGCTGAGGTAGCCCTCGTCTATCGCTGCTCCTGGGACACCCAACACTCTCCCTGCGGAATGTTCATCGAAGGCTCTCCCAGAGACATTCTCTCCCATCTTCGGGAACGGCACGGTATCGTGCACACTGGCGACGCGGACCTCGAATGCCGCTGGAGTTCGTGCTCGATGGACAAACGTCTGAAAATGAGCAGTATCGCGAGGCACATCGGGAAGCATCTGGGCATTCAGTTCAAATGCTCGCGATGTGGACTCACGGCTCGTGACGACGTCGTTCGCGACCATATCAGAAGGAGCCCTGGCTGCGCTGACGCTGCAGTACAGCTTGTTCCCGGTTCAGGAGCTCGGCGGATAGTCTCACCGTAACTTTTTCAGGGTGGGCGCAATGATTTGACTTTTAGACAACGACGACGACGATATACCTATATACGTACCATACTACGTTAGTACTAATACTTACGATACCGCGTGGCTGGGACGCAGTATGCGCCATTTACGAATGTGTTCGATCGATTTATGTATTGAAAGTGAAGGCAGTCTCATTCTTCCACCCCGTGGATTGAGAAATGAGGGAAAATAACCGTTAATGAGTTGGGTCAGGCTCAGATGGGATAGCAAGTTGCGATAGGCATGAAGACTGTCTTTTTAAAATTTCTTTTGCGTAAAGAACGCTCCGCGCGGAACCCTCTTCTGAAGGTTCACCTTTTTGGGCCAAGTTGGCAGGTTCTGGTAAAGTTAAGGTTTTCTCCTTAATTATGTAAGCCAATCGCCGAGGGGCAAAACGGGGAAAGCGGAATTGCGATGATAGTACAAAGCCGTCTCAGACGGCGAGTATTCGTCCAACACCAACACCAACTCATGGCGAAACATGATGGCCTCTTGTCTGAGTCTATTCTAATCGCTGGCGCGCCTCGCAACGAAAATTCGACGAAGGTTCCGGGTACATGTACAGAAGGCAAGAAAGGTTTACGGCTTTGAGATGTCCTCACGTCATATCAAGCCGCACGACAAACATACTTGGGTCTGAAGAAGTCGTGGTTCCGTTGCCCACTTGGGGATGTAAATTCCACTTCAGATCCCCAGCCTGCGAGTTAAAACAAACATCAGCAAAAATTGGAATACTTGGTCAAAACGAACTGACCATACGAAAGAATTGTAGGCCGCCAATGGCGAAGCCTACTGCCCAGAAATTTGCACGGATGTGCACTTCAACAGTCTCATCCTTATTCTGCCGACGAGCAATAAAGTCAAGGGCAAGTGAAGTGAAAGCGCAGCTAACTAATACTTACGATTTCTTCGCAGCCGCCTTGCTCGGGACGTTTGTAGGGTTGGGGATGTTGGCGAGACATTTGGTCTACAGTTAAAGAGCTCTTTAGCGATTAGAAAGGGGGTTTATGGTACTTATACGTCCCGTGAGGCGCTGGACCAAGACAATCTGTAACCTTTTGTTCCGTAAGGCCAACGTGTAACAACGATCTTATTGTGGAAGTGAAGTTCTAACTACAGAACCCACAAGAAAAGCACGGATCTGAGAAACCGAATGTAAAATATCACAAGTCACGCGAAGTTTCGGACACAAAGACGGATTTCATCATTCCGCCGCGTAACAACTGCAACAAAAACGTGGTGAGGAAAGATCCGTGGGTCATGATAAGGAGATCAACAACTTGACAAGTAAATGGCTCCTTCGGGATACGACAGCAGGTTGGAATCTAGTTGGAAGTTGGACCCTGGAGCTATTAGTAAGCCCGAACTTCACTATCAACGGCATCATACCATTCCGCCGCGAAATAACTGCTAGAAACAAACGTGGTGAGGCAAGATCCGCAGGTTATGATAAAGAGACAGACAGTGATCAGAAACTTGACAACAAGCACATAGCTCCTTCAGGATGCGACAGCAGGTCAGAACCTGGTTGGAAGCTGGACTCGGGAGCTACCGTATAGTAAGCCTGAACTTTACTATCAACGACATTATAGTACGGGATCGTAAAGATGGGCTTGAAAAGCATGGTAAAGTCACTGGTAGTTTGGAAGGGTCAAGTGCCAGGTCTTGGTAGACTTTGCTTGGAGTTGAGCTTCGGGGCTCTGCTAGGTGGTTAGCTATTACTAGTGCCCACTTATAGGAGGAAGATTGGGAAATATAACTTACCAACAAGTGTGACTATATTTGTCCATCGACGGATAGCCTAGGGATAGTAATATTTACCTCGATGACTGAACTGGAAAGAAAGAAACTAGAGCGGAGGAAGATCTAGGAAGATTCAGACAGGGTAGTACTTGTCACGTGCCACCCATCTCTGGGAGACTCGATCTGGCACAGTTCGGTTGTTGACAGAACACCTAGCACAAACAATAGGCGAGGGCAAGTTTATTAATTGTGTGCTGGTACTTGCGCGTACCTTGTCTCAAACTTGTGACGTTATCTATAATTCTGGCATTGATTTCGAATTTATCGGCCCCCACGAGGTCATAGGACACACTTACTAGGGCGTCCATTCTTCCAATATGCCAAATCACCTCAGCATTCCTTTCAAGAAGACCTATTCATGCCCTATACCCATTGCTACACACGCGATTACATTCGAAATCATACAGAAGACCACCCAGATGCTTATATTCGCGACATCAATCAGTGGAAGGCATTGCGGGATATCGGCACTGGGGGCGTATTACATGCTGACCGTATCAACTTCGCATTAAAGTGAGTGCAGCACCCGATTATGACGAGCAATCTAACCAGAACCAGTTATCATGCTCAACTTGTATTCATTCTAGCCAAATTACCGCCCGACGTCAGTTGCCAACCTCATGCTTCTCCTTTCGCATTCCTGATAACCCCAGATCGATTTGGAATTCTCATACGCACATGCGTTTGCTTCGAGCCCGTCCTCCCTCCCTGTGACCCTGAGGAGTATTGCGTTTGAGCGGGCTTCAGTCCTGTTCAATATAGCTGCGCTATATTCCCAATTGGCTGCCTCCGAAGACAGATCCAGCCAAGATGGCCTAAAACGTGCAAGTGCTTATTATCAGGTAAGTTAAGCGATTGAAAAAAAGGAAGCTACTTTACGTTCCGCCTGAAGAACGCAGCTGGCGTTTTGGCCTTCCTGTCCGAATCAGCACTGCCGAAACTGGGTCCCTTTGTAGATTCAGAAAACACACCTTCCGATCTGACCGAAAATTTTGTAAAAAGTTTGGAATGGCTTATGCTGGCCCAGGCCCAGGAATGTGTCTGGCAGCGTGCTGTCGCCGGTAACAATTTCCCTCAAATATTCTACAGATCTGACTAGTGATTTAGATCACTACAAGAATAGCCTGATTGCAAAATTAGCGGCCAAAGTTTCGTCTCTCTATAACACTTCCTTACTATCGATCCGCTTGGCCGCCGCCGATACCTGTGATGCCTTACCACCTGTAAGCATGACCTCATGGCTTCCACCACGAATATTGATCCAGGTGAATAGAATTGGATCCCTCACTTGGAGACGAAGCACTATCATTTCAATGCAGCATCACAATATAGGAAAGGTATTGACGAACTCGAGGCCTCTAGGTTGGTGAGGGATGTCGCGCCCTTTCATCGCTGAAATTGTCATAGATACGGTAACGAGATTCAACGTCTAATGATTGCCGAAGCAGATGCCAAAAAAGCATTCAACATTGCGAAGCGTGCTGGGGTCGCCCAAGCTGTCATAAGCGATGTTAAGGTCCATTCTCATCTCGCGCCTTATCTAGTCGCCGTGTTTGACATCTCGTTTCAGTCGCTGCTTGACATTGTGCAGAAAAATCTCTCCCGTGCTGAAAGAGACAATGATCTGATATACCATGAGAATGTCCCGGCACCTTCTAGTATCCCCGCAATTCAAGAAGTCTCTATGGTGCAGACCATCATTCCGCCTGGGCTGCGGGATCCCAAAAGCGTAGTCGGCGATGACAGCATAATCTTTGGTGAGATGCTTGGATGGGGTGCTCGGGAAGCTATCAGTGGGTCGAGGTTAAGCGACAATGTGACGCCTCGTGTTGATCTATCAATCCAGATATATATAATGACAACAAGGGAAATTTGCTTCAAGAGAAAATAGTCGAACCAGCCCAGAATTTCAACGATGAAGCCGATAAGTCAGACGCGCGTCCTTTCAATGTTCCTGACGTAATTGATCATACACAGGATACTCCAATCTCTGAACTTGCCATCATCGTTGGAAGCCTTGGAGCGTCCTATCGGGTTACCTCCAAGTCTCTTGAGGAAAGCTGAAGAAATACGCTTAGAGCAGGGGCCCACGAAGATCGATGTCTATCTCGACGACGTTCAGCGACTCTCTCGACATGTACTCGGCATACTCGACGAGGTATCTTGTTTTTCTGTCTACGTTTGGATTATCTTTTATGGAATGGGTCTCTAGGCGATGGATATCTTAGACAGCGAGGCGTCTGAGGACGAAGCTGCGCGCAGAGAGACGCCAATGAACCGTCCTCCATCTCATGAAGCAAACCAAGAGCTTGTCATAAAACAACAACGGTATCGGACCATCCTCACTCAGGCAGCAGAAAGCGACGAACTCGTACGCAGGAAATGGGAGGAATGGGAAGATCAAATTTCCGAGCTTACTCGCGACAAGGTGCGAACAAGGCGCAGCTGTACACGTTTACATACTAATTGGGGTGCACAGGATGAACTCGAAGCCTTGGTGCCGTCATCGACAGTTTCTATGACAGGAAAGGCAGTATCAACTAGTCAGACTCAAATCCACGCTCGCACCCTGCGTGGCTTGCTAGAGTCTTTGGATGATATTCGTCGTACTCGAGATGATCTTGTTATCCGTGCTCGAAGACGAGTGGAAAACGACGACATACGATCAAAGGTGCTGGCGGCAGCGGGAAACTTAAAATACGGGATAGAAATGAGCGCCGTTACGTTTGAAGATGTTTCCGATAATGAACTTGCCAAGTACGACAAGTTCATTCAAGGTCTGACCGAGGGGCGGAAAAAACAAGAGGAAATTATTTCATCGATCAAGGTCATTTCAATCAATGCTCGGTTCCAATGTTTTCTTGACAATATCCTAGTCCACGAATGACGTGTTCATTCAATCTAGGAAACAAGACCCTGCTGTCAAGGATCGAGAGCAGGCCCTTCAATTTCTTGACCTCGCGTATTCTCATTATAGAGAGATAATCCGGAATCTAGACGAAGGGCTGAAAGTTAGTTACTAACAGTCCAGTCCCGGGAATTCAAGTTGATTATCTGCTAGTTTTACAACGATATGGCCGGTATCTTAACTAACTTCAAGGAAGCATGCAAGATATGGAGCAGTGCGCGAAGTCGAGAAGCCAGGTACAGTCGCTCTTGATTAACTTCTTTCCCTAACTCATGGCACTGCGTGCTCTAGACTCCTCCATCGTAACATGGCGTCTCTATCGATCCGTGACAACGCCTCCGATGAATCTCACGAAGTGCCAGTGTCCACGACGTCGCCGCCAAGGACGGACACTCGGAAAATGACTGCTGGTATACCGGACGCTAGTCCTCAGCTGATTGGGAGGCTCAAGAGCTGGCTCCCCCGCCTACAAAACGAACAGAAAAAACTACAAAACATCGATGATGAACATCGTGGTCAGATGAGTGTCAGGAGCTGCACGATTATGTTCTTAGATGAATCCCAACAGGAGCTGTGTGTGTGTATTGCTCGTGTATTGTGGAGGGACAAGCTGGACATACTCATGGCATTGCGTACGATATCCAGTGAACAATGATCCTACTAATTACTCTCGTTGCATCAAATCCGACGCATTTTTTAGTCTATTTATGCTTGAGCTAGTACACTGAGTACTGTGTAAGATTCTAGCCTAACAGAGAGCTCGATATATACTTCATAACAGTATCGTATTCACCAATGATGTCAGAAAATTTAGGAGTTGGAGCGGTCTTTTGTATGTCATGAAGATTGGATCTGATAGTAGTACTGTAGACAATTGGACCTTTGAATGGGCGGTATTTGCAAGCGCCCAGCTGATTCAGCGCGCTCAAATAGGGCCCCGCAGCGACGTCACGCCGATATCTCAGACATAGCGCACTGACCCACAACTTACAAGCACAATGAAAGAAGACTGCAAGACTGACAAAGGCCCGCCCCCGCCATATCAGACTCCAACCCATCGTCCACCTCCTTCAGGCATTCGAATCCCGCTGCAGTTAAACTCTACCTTCCCTAATCTCACACACACTAAAGCACCCCCATGCTACGATGCAGACGGTGTTTCTCCCGTCTTCCTCGGATCCGCGATCTTCCAACGCTCTGTCCATCCATGCAAGATTGCGCCTCATCTTCCAAATCCCTGCCGTGTGCCATATGGTTCTGCTGAGGTAGAGCATCATGGGCGGTACGACCTTCTGCCATTTGACCCGGAGACCATGGAATGGGTCCGTACGAGTCTTGGTCGTATTCCTCATAATCGGGATCCTGTTGCTGGAGGTTATGAAGAGAGTGGGCAGCATCTGTATCATGCAATGGGTTGCGTGGACAGTGGGACCTGGGTTCCTGGTAAGACAGGAGAACATCTTGTGCGTATTCTCATTCTACTTGAGGCCATATCCCACGATATCTGAGTTCGTAACAGGGGGGATGCCATGTCGCATTTGGTGGTGGAGAGGAGATCATCAGAAATGACTACGAAATATTGTAAGTCTAACGGCTTATCTCACCCGGTGATATTGATGTAACGAAATGCAGGTGCTGGAGGAGTGGATATCTCAAGGGAATGAAATAGATTGCTTGTATCGATACGGAGTGTGTGCTCCGTTCCATATTACCTTGATAATTTAACTTTGCAGCAAAATTTGTCAAAACTGACTGGACAACAGGGGAAGTAAGAAGACAGATGTATATTCTACAATCCGTGAGATATCGCCAAAGAAGATCATAGCGGTCGTTTTCAAGTAGCAAAATACTACCCATGAAGCACGTACAAGTACAGATAAACTCTGATCACAGAAGCTCCCTCAACAACAGCGGGCTGTGGCTGGCTCTGTTGTGGCTGCTGCGGGCTGTGAAGCATACCAGTACCCAAAGCTTGCGTCCGGAACGCCTAAACCACGCGTCTTCTCAATAACTGATTGATATACTGGCAATGCTGAACGGTGGATCTCGATGACATTCTATAAGAAGAGATGACAGTCAGTGAATGAACTGTCGAGCGCGACATCATTAATGACTCTGAAATAAGATCCACACCTTTTCTAGGTCGATCTTCGCTTCCGCGCCCATACGGGTTTCACGGATGAGGTTGACGATCCATTTCTCGCCTTCATCTCGTGAGAGATTAAGACGTTCCGAAAGATCAGCTGAGCACGTGGTTTGAGAATAAAACAATGTGGATGAATACCTTACATACCCAATATCGATACGTTGGTGTATACGGCAATATGCCTCGCTAATCAGGTAGCGTGCGTTATCGAGGAACTCCTCTCTGAACTCCCCAAGGAAGAAATCATCTCCGACCACACGGTCAGCAAGCGTTAGCTCACGCTGTGCGGCCTCAAAGTCGAACTCGACATAAAGCTCTTTCAGGAAAGATGTAACGGGATCTTGATATTGGTATTCTTCCGTCTGGATGACTTTGACGATCTCCCGTATCGAGTGTCGTACACGCGAAGAAGCAGCAGTCCCGCCTGCAGCCGACTTGCGAGAGAGGATGGCAGCAGTGGCTATGTATCGAAGGATCCAAGGACAAGAGGTTTGGATAGTATTAAGGTAAGTGGGCGAGAGGAAAGTCTCGAGGAGGAGTGTCCGACCCTGCGGGTGATTGAAGTAGACAAAGAGAGACCAGTGAACGAGCCACGTCCGCGAGTGGAGTTGCGTGAGGGCTGCGGGCTCGGCAGATGCCGTCAAGAGTGTTGAAGGTGAGCGTGAGTCAACGACATCACGTAGGGTGTTCAACTCTTCGAGAGCTGTCTCCCATTTTCCAGTGAGGATGTCGGATGCGAGTTTGCCCCAGTGTGCAGAAGTGTTGAGATCGTTATCGGTTGAAAGTACACGGAAATGATACAGATAGTCTGCAGCACCGCTGTAGTTGCCGTAGGTATATTGGAACTGCCCAAAGTTATATAAAACAGTGATTTGTTCGAGGGTGAGCTATGTTAATCGTGAATAGGTTACACGACGATTGATAGTAGGCGAGGGACGTACGTTGTAGTTATCTTTTAGGTACTGCAAATTCTGATTTTTATCTTGACGCAGTGCTTGTGCAACATCTGGGTTCTCGATCACATCAAGGAACGGCTTGAGCCTCCAGCTGTAGGCGCTCATTTGTTGATACAGCCTTCTCTCGTTTCCCCGAGAACTCTGAAAGATTGAAGCTCACATGTATCGGCGTTGATATGAATTACAACACAATGACACACCTTCGGGGATCTCCTCATCAGGATGTAGCTGCTCGAACAAGCTGACTGCATAATCCAGCATGTTCGTGCCCTTTGCAAGTTCATACTGTGCTGCTTGAACCTGCTCGACCGGGAAGAGCGAAGTTTCGACCAGATGGGCTAACAATGGAAACGCCAGGTGGCGATCCAGGTAGGGTATTATCGTTTTCGATAGATCGTATTCCGCCATGGTGGTGTGCAATGTTGCACGTCCTTCAAGCTTCAAGCTTGTAGAGCAGAAATTTTACGGCCGCTCAAAGAGGAAATCGCACAGCCACAACATGTAGGATTAGTACAGACTGCAGGCAAACTGCAGGTACCTGGTACTTTACCTACGACGCTACGAAGTTTATACCTGAACGTTTTACCAAGCCCGAAATTGAGCTTGTACGAGGAAAAGGTGACGCGGTGAGCAGTGTGACCTTCTCGATACACGACACTAAATGTCACCCATCGATCTATTCGACTCCTTACCACAAGGCTTGTTGCAATGTGCATACCTCTTAAATCCCCGCTGTGGCGAATAAATGCTTGAGATTCGAACCTGGGCGATATAATCCACGAGGAACTGAACGGGATCATAAAAAGGCGTAAAGTACACATCCGGACCAGCTCGAGGATTGTCGGTGACCTCTGTGGGGAGCCAATGCAGAAAACGGCTGCAGTGATCCAAGGGCATGCAGGCAGAGAACTTAGAACATGTGATCAACTTGTGCTTGCACAGAAATTGACAGGACCTCGCCGTCAGAGACAACGAACGGAGTGGCTTTGCAACAGCTGCAGATGTGAGTTTCTGTCACTGTCTTCGTGCACATTCAATCTGATATGCCATAGATGCAGATGCAGATGGCTTACTGAAAGAGCGTGAGCACGCCCATCCGAAAGAGAAAGTGTGATTTGTAAAGCAGGGAAGAAGTTCGAGCGGTCAGACACTCCTAGTGGAATCTAAGACTAACACAAGATCTTCAAAGCCTTGCCGCAGTATGTCTGGTGTTTGTCTCATTACTTCCTTGCCATGGATATAATACAATGATGATGAAACTGTTCATGAATACAACTGCAGGCTAGCATATACAATCTACCTAGTATCGTTCGTGAATGGCGACAGACCCTCCAGGAATAACGTCCATACCAAGGTACGTGAGTTGAGACCACACATCGCCCAACACAATCTAATTACTCCCTTCGATTCGGCGAATGTGTTATATGCATACATTGTGTTCGACTTACGGTACGAGCGTGTGGAGACAGATGCTGTGCCTCACCACGCTTTTGTAGACTGTTCACAGTTTTGCGAGATTTCGCAAGGGAGCGAAGTACATTACAGTCTCAGGGGCTACTCCGAGTAGCCTCAGACGGAATATTCAGAGTCATCACTTCCTCACCCACAACAGCTGACATGACCGTGATGACACCAGGCGGCCTGGCAGTGTTTTATCCCCATTGGACGCTGAACAAAATAGCATTGGCGAGCCACCGCATCACGAGAGCCAACTTGGACGGACAGGAACAAGGGAATGTGTGCCCGAGCGTTGGATGCACCGGGAAGTCCGTCTTCAGCGTGGAGAGGACCACACACTTCCTGGGAGAACTATGCGGTGTGATGTCCCCCCTCTGGCGAATCAACAGTGCAGAAGATTTCGATGGCTCGCTGGAAAGACAATGAGTAGGGGCATGAACTAGTGAAGGACTGACTCTCCACGTGGCCATGTCGAACTCCATGATCATTCAAGTGCGATTTTCGCCGTTGGGACGTTCTTGGCGAGTGGAAGGCTCGGACCGGCCTGAATGAATTCAAAAGAGGATAACACAAGAGATGATAAATGTTCTCCAATGATTGTCCGAAGTCAAGGAAAGAGGGACTAAAAAATATAGTCTGGTTTTGTAATGAAATGACATGACAATGGCAATAAAAGCAACGACCGAAGGTCACCACTGGTATCAATAAAGTATGAAATGGGGCAGAATGAAGTGTACAGGTACGAGATTAAGTAGTTAATCCAAAGCCATCATGGAAGGTTGTTCTCCTGCTTGAACCACTGCACGGAGAGAAAAAACATTCAGTCGCACCGAAAAAAACCAGTAGCTGACACTTACCTCCACCATTCTTCTGACACCCTCCTCCAGCCCGACCTCCGGTTCATACCCAAGCACACGCCTTGCTTTCTCGATGTTGTGGTACCTCGTGGCACAGCTATACCCAACCCTATATCGCGTAAACCCAGCCTCTTTCCCAATTAAGGACGCCCAACACTCCGCAAGAAAACCCAGCACCATCGCAAAGCTCCTAGGAACCACCCACGCGGGCCTCTGAGCCCGCTCCGATGCGCCCGACGGGGACTTCGACGAAGGCGGATCGAGCGCAAGCCATATAAGGCGCATGAAGTCCCAGAAATACACCGGCTCGCCATTCGTGATGAAAAACACCTGCCCCGCAACCTGCAGCGGCGAGGTCTCTGCAAGATCAATGGAATTTTCGGAGAACTGGTCGAATCGGGATCGTATGATACGGTGCGCGGGAGTGTGTGGATGGCGTGGAGCGGTGAACGCTGCCTCTATTTCGGTAGCATTAGGCGGCAGCGTGACGTATGGTCCTAGAGGGCGTGCTTCGCACGTTGGAACTCGATTTACCCCGATTGTTGCGCTGACAGGCTGGAGGGCACGATCAAGGTGAAGCTCGGCTTTAAGGGAGTCGGTAGTGAGGGTCTCTTCTGAGGATGTAGGAAGTGAGGGAGAGGACAGTTTGTCGGCGGCGATTAGATGTGCTTTGGCGAGATTACCGACGTAGGTGTAGTCGAAGAGGTTATTGTTGTCTCCGACCTGGAAGTGGGTTTGTCCACGCTGGTAAGCTTGGTAGAGGCCTACCATCATTTGACGGTCACCCTCACTGAAGAGCATCGTGTTGTATCATGATTGGACTGATATGAAGAAATGACATACCCGAAAATGCCTGCAGGCCGTAAAGCAACAGTCAGTAGTCCGCCCTTGCCATTGGCCTCGAGGATGAGTTTCTCTCCCTGTGCTTTTGAGTCGTTATATGCATCAAATGGCTTCTCCGGGAATGGAGCACGTTCGTCGAGGTTGACAACGTCACCACCATCAAAAACGACACCGGCGCTGCTTGTGTACACTAGCTTTGTCACACCAGCGGCCTGTGCTGCGCTGATGACGGCTTTGCAGCCATCGACATTGACTTTATAATATATAGTTGGATCTTTGGCACCGTGTGGTGGTGAAGCGGTGTGGATTATACACGTCGTACCAGTCTGCAGTTATTCCGACAGTAAATAGACGTACACCACACAGAGAAGGAAAGTGAGTTAGCGCTCGATGACCATAAAGATGAGTGAAGTAGCGCGCACCTTTTGCAATACATCAAGTAACTGGGATTCGTCCGTAATATCACCGGAATAAAAGTCGACATCGTGATGTCGCTGGACGATGTCGAATACACAGACGATGTCCCTGCGAGCTAGAAGGTGCTCGACGATGTGACGGCCAACAAAACCGCTGCCTCCAATGACAAGGTAGATTTCTTTTCGTTGTGACATGAAGGATGTAAGAGCGCAACCTGTTGCTGCTCAGACCTAAGGTTCGGTGACTAAAGTTCGAAAAGTACAATTATTTGACCAATGACCAGAGGCTTGTAAAACACCAACGCACGTGATCTCACCAGCTGACAAATCAGCAACCTAGTATACCTGAGGACGCGTCCGTTGGTCCACGCAGGTCTGTAGCTCCCGTGCCGTCGTCTTCGCATTGCAAGGGCGCACCGCACTAGTAATGTGCTCGAAGACCGCTCGCGAGCACCGAAACCACTCACATACCTAGTTCACTTGGCCTCTTGTGTCGCCGTGTCGCGTCTAACGACCTCAGGCTCGCGCTATTACAAGGCAATTCCGTCGAACTTTGAAATGCGCACACGCAGAAAGACGGCGTGATTTATGTTTTTTCTGTCTATATGTACAGCTGTATATATATACATACACCCGTCCAATATTAATGTTTAAATTTGCTTAATTGTCTGGCGAAAATGATCGCGTGCGGGCCGGCAGGCTGCGCCCACCCACCCTGTCCATGTAAAATTCCACCGCCTGGAGCTCTCAGCCGCACGTAAAATTCCAAGATTTTACGGTAAAATAAAGCGCGGCAGGCACTTGACCATCATTTTTCTTGTAAATGCGGCGCTCTGCGAATCGCATTTTTGGTTCCCTTCAGGCTGTAATGTTATTCTGATGCATCGCCGAAAACAGGTTAAGTAACCTACTTTTGTTGTGCATCAACATTGCTCATTATGCTATCGATGCATCAGGCCTTGGGGGTACATTTGGTGACCGGGCAGGTCTAGGCACGAATGCAACTCGGAGCAAAAGTCAGGACGGAAAACAAACAGGCCGTTTCAAATTAAACATATCCTAGTCACCCTATTTTGAGAGCAAGAGGAGAAGGCCAATGATAGTTCCAGTCGGGTTCAGGACTGACTCTGGCCATCCGGATAATGATCCACAGTCACAGCTGGGCCTGCAACTACGGATACATCGACCAAACGTTGATTGGACGCTATCGCAACGACGGGTGAGCAAATGATGTGGCTATGAACCAATGTACACCTCTCCACGTCGAAGAGCCGCAAGAAGCTGATTATATATAACGCGTTTGTTTACGGGTTTCTAGTTTGATCGTACGGACTGTAAGCTATAAGCCTGATACATCGCTTTCGATGACGCGTCTTACCTACATCGCTGAGCGCTGATTGGACACCGTGCATGATACAGATACCTGTACTTGGAGATTCCTCCATCATACGCTCTTCCATGTTACCGTCGACGTGGCGGGATTACATGAGACAATAGACCGAAGACTGAGTTGCCGAAACGGTCTATGACATCATCACCCCCTAAGATTTGAACCGACTTAAATTCGAATTCGAACACAAATTACTCGCCCACCATTAAATCATGTTAAGATCACCATTCCAATTTACATTCCCTGATCTGACACCTGCAACCCCTAGCTTTTGTTACGCATCTGATCAAAATTCACCAATCAGAGTATCACCAATTTACTTTGTGGACACCGATGGCACCGGTGGTCAGGCGGTCCGCAACATGGTGCCCCACAACTATCCTATCCGTCCCCTTGTCACAAAAACAATGAGCAATATTCTCCATTGCGAGCCGTTATTAGAAAACTATGCTTTGAATACATTCACAGTATCCCCCACCCCCTCTCAGATACAAAACAGAATGCAAGAAATCACGCACTACCTTCAGCACTATCCCCCAGAAATTTACATTTATCCATTAACCGATTCCCACGGTGCCACAGTTGTAGAGGCATTGCAAAATAGCCCATCAGGGTACTTGCGTTGGTACATGCCAGCGGGTGAGACGATTGACCATAGTCGTCAACGCAGCCCTCGTCGGATGTTCCTCCACAGGCAAGTGGTTGACGCTCTGTGTTGTGCTCATGCCATGAGTCAGGCGGGCCAGGAGCTGGGAGAAGGCTATCTATCACCTCGTTCAATAATCCAGTAAGTTGTTCTTTGAATTTGATACTTAGGAATACTCTAATACTTCATTCAGGCTTCTCAGTGCAACTCTCGTGATTACGCTTGTTCATGAGGTGGCTCATGTGGTCCACGCTACATTTGCTGAGTTACCCGCCTTCGTCGCGTATATCCGGTGGTGGAACATTGATGTCCACACACGCGTTTGACAGTAACCCCCGATCATTATATTTAGTCGGGGAATCAGGGGATTCTGCTGAGAACGTCCTGAGCGGAGGTGAAGGAGAATTTCACACAGTCTTCGCTGATCGTAAAGACTGCCTTTCTGTTACCCACCTGGCGATTCATGGAAAAGATAAAAAAGTACCAGTTCACGCGTTCCTTCGTAAGTGTATTTGATTGCAATGAAGATGGTGTACTGAGATGTGCCAGCGAACGAGGCTGTCCTGCTTAACCTTATCGAAGGGACGTGGATCCCAGCACATCGGTTCGCTCCCGCCAACACAGCACAGCCGGCAACGCCCAAGATGATCTCACAGGGAGGACATTCCTCGGCCATGTCAGACTTCACGTCGCCTCATGAGCCAATGTGCGAGCCGGTTTCGATTCCTGAGTCTCCCGCCATCCCATGTCCTCCAAGGCAACAGCAAGGGTTCATCTTTATGGATGGGTTGTCATTGCGTGTGTAGAGTTCATTAAGTGGACAAGAGGAATGTTTCAAGGAGTGTTTGACCCTGCTGGTGGTTGAAGTATACAGAGCCTAGATCGATGGATTAGCCATGTCCCTGACTGCACAATTCAGCATGCTCGCAAGTTCATATTGTTCTGCTTAGCAAATATGCTTGACCAGGAAGAGCAGAATTTCGACTAGACGCACTGATAAGAGAAACGCCAAATGGGTGGCGGTCCAGGTAGGTATTATCGAGTCGGTTTTGCCAGGTCGTGTTCCGGGTATCTAGCTTTCCGCTGAAGCAGAAATTTTTACGGTAACTCAAAGAGGAAATAGCACAGCCACAACATGTGCGCCGAACTGCGATATTCATGAGGCTCTTGCGACTTTTCCAACAACTCAACGTTCAGTGTCATCATGACCGCCATCACGCAGAACCTACCAAGATTTATATCAGACCTCGGAATCTCAATAATTGGAGATGTATGTTAATTTTTATTGTTTTAGTCAATGTTGGGACACTCAACATATTGCAGAAATGTTATTCCTCGCTGGTCGAGAACCTCAATGTCGGAGACGTGGATTGTCTCAAATACTCGCTTTCCAAGGGCTTGGGCATCGGCATCGTAGTAGGAGGTTCTATCATGAAAGTTCCTCAATTATTGCTTAGTGAGTCTGTCAAGCGCCTTTCATACATGTCAGGTACTTAAAGTTATGGTTATGACGTGTCCAGTCCTTAGCGGACGCTCCGCTCGTGGTCTCTCCTTACCCGCATATGTCCTTGAAACTCTCGCATATGCCATCACCGCTGCATACTCATACAGAAACGAGTTCCCATTCTCGACCTACGGCGAGAATCTATTCCTTACTATACAAAACACCATAATTACTCTCCTAATCATCTATTTCCCAACTCCATCGCTCCGAAATGCACAGGCAATTGGCCCACAATTGGCAATCGCCAGCGTAGCATCCGTCGCATCTGCCGTTGCGCTGTATATTCTCCCTAAAGACATCCTGTCTCTGCTGCAAATGGCCACGTTGCCACTATCCCTCTTCTCGAAGCTGCCCCAAATCATGCAGAACGCACGTGCCCAATCCACGGGCCAGCTCTCAGCTTTCGCTGTCGTTTCACAAATCGTGGGTTGTCTTGCCCGATTGTTCACTACCGCGACGGAGGTCGGCGACCTCATCGTCACTGCTGGCTTTGCTCTTGCCCTCGTTCTCAATCTTGTGCTCGGTGCGCAGATGTGGATGTACTGGGGAAACGACCAGAAAGAAGACTTTGGAAAGACGGAGATTGGATCGCTCAGCGAGAAGGAAAAGGAGCACTGGGCATCGGAGAGGCAGGGGAGAGTTGATGTTGTCGTTACTCCAAAGTCCCCTGCACCGCGTCATAACGCGTCGCCTTCCGGCAGAAAATGGGCAAGGAAGATTGATTAGTACTAGTATACCTCTGTTATTTAATGAACTCGATTTTTATTTTATACACTATCTGAGTGTGTACCACCAACAAAATACCCGAGTACTTGGTTTTGACTTGGGGTCACCAAGTACTTCCGTGTTTGTGCACCGCTCCGGCGAAAATACATTGACAGAATTCGGAACAACTGCTTACTATTATAGGGTCTGCCTAGGCCTACGGGTGGCCTCGGCAAGCCGTAACTCCATTTAGTCTGGAAGCAGACTCCATCAACGATTCGACGCACAACTAATATCGATGCATCAGGCTCTACTTGTTCCCGAAATCCTCTTGGACATATTCGCGCATGTGAATGAAAGTGCGAACCTACCATCTGATGATGATAATTGCGAGAGATTACTATCTCAACAATCTCTCGCATCGCTTGCAACGACATGCAAAACCTTCCATGAGCCTGCGATGGATTTACTGTGGGCTAACATAGAGGAGTTAGAACCATTGCTAGGCTGTGTAACGAGGCTACATCCAATGATATATAGTAGTGACGCAGAGGTCAGTGCAGCCTAATTCCAATCTTCAGTTCATGAACTCACCGAGCATCTAAACACAGCCCTCCTGGTCTGAAGGCGCCGAACCATTATCCGAGGACGAAGCTCGTCAATTCTTGCGTCATGCCACCCGCGTCCGCTCAATCGATATAGCGTCTGACAGAAATTTTCACCTCTTCACAGTCTTCCCCACCGAGACGTGCATGTTCCCGAGATTGCAGTCATTATTATGGCAGGTCGAGGCTCCCAATAACATATATCTGCACCTCTTCCTGTCCGACACGCTACTTTTTATCTATCTATCAGCAATCCACCCAGCTTCGAATTCCATCGGGACCCGTTGTGATTCTTTGGAGGCCTTGACCATCGGTGATGCGGCTGAGGATCTCACAGCAGACGAGTCGTTCTTGCTGGCCGACACTGTCCGTTCATGCACGCAGCTGACACATCTGGGTTGTCCACCGCTCGAATGGGAAGCATGGAACCACCTCTCCAACCTCCCCACCCTCATCAAATTGGAGATTGGTAGCGGATGCTGGCCATTAGACCGACATGATCTCAAATTCTCACCTTTCCTCAATGTCACCATCCTCAATTTCTATGTACACACGGCTTCATACACTATCACAGCCTTGCAACGCTCAGAATTCCCCTCCCTACTGCAGTTCGAGATGCACGTCCATGTCATGCCTTTGGCACAGGCTGAGCAGCTTTTTAGTGCACTGTCACGATGCAATACATGCCACACACTTGAACACATCGTCATCTTCTCCTTTGATCCAGACGGTGACTCGGATGAAGAGCCCTTTGGTAACTCTTTGACAGCAATCACACAATTCCTTCATTTTACGCAGCTGCGAACCCTAGGCCTCGTTTTTGAAAATTACCCCGTCTACCTTGACAACGACCTTCTTCTAGAAGCCATGTCAAGTTGGCCGCACATTCGCTACATGACTTTAGCAAACCACCAGCTTCGTCCACCTACCATTACATTCCGCGCATTATTCGACGGACTCCAGCTATGTCCCCACTTAGATTCCCTGCAATTACACATCGATGCTGTAAATATCGATATCGATCCTGAAACCGAGTCATTTCAGCATACGTCTCTACAGAAATTCAACGTGGGCTTCTCTAACGTAGAAGATGTTGAAGCTATCGCTCGCCTCATTTTCTCCATGCTCCCTGGCGTCGAACAAGTTAAACACGGGAACGAGGACGATTGGATCAAGGTTAACGAACACCTCAAATATTTGAAATCTTCTGCGGTCCCTGGCCTTCATATTACTCCGGAACCAGCCCCGGCCACCTGAATCCGGGATTTATCTATGTGCCGGGGCAATTATCCTGTAGTTGTCATTGTCGCTTTCGTTCATTATGGTTGTAATTATTCTCTCCCCTCTGACGTGGTTTTCTTGTGCTATCATATCCTAGGAATGTTTAATGTCACCCGATCAAACGATTATCGTGTATCTAGGGCTACGCCGCTCGCAGTTGCATATGCTGGTATCTCCTGACATAATATCTGACACGGAAATCAATACTCATTTATCACGATTTCAATACAGAGTTTTGAAACTCGATTAATATTGTAGTCCTTATGCTGAGTCTCCAGAAACCGACTATCGAGGAGCTCCTTGATGACGACCCCCGTTGTGATACCCTGGTGTACCTGCGTCCAATATCACCCTTAATTCAATGACTCTATCGTGCGGAACTACTGTTTATATTGCCTCGATGTCATCACCCATTCGCTTGCTCTTGCCCAGTGCCTTTTTCCTCCAGCTGCGTTTTCATACCTCACAACCCACAGCATCCTTATACGCATCGTTTTAATGTTGCTCTCGTTCTCATCGCCTTTGTTGCAGATATCGCGATTGTATGGTACTTTATAGCAATGAACTACATATTTCTCGTCCTATCCCCACTTTGAATGTAGTCGGTGCAACGGGAACTTGAGCGACAGGAGATGACCGTAGCAACGATGTCCTTCTGCTCAGCTTCTCAGTCCGCCATGAGAAAGCACCGATGTTATGTATCGCTTAGACGCAATCCACGGCGCACTCGCAACTGCATTTTTGATGGAATCGGCATGCCGTCTCCATCGTTGTGTGCTCTCACAAACCAGCACTAACATCATGAGTGCCATACCGTCAGCTCACGTCGTTCATATGGACAATCCTAAATTCGCTGGGTATGGAATAGAATACGAAGTATGATCCACTGTACACTCGTTCACATCTGATTGTACGTGAAATCTCCATAGTATATCCATTGCTGTAGGCATCATTGGTACTAAGGTCTGCAAATATTGATTTCAGTAAGTGCGAGTAACAGAAATGGCACTGAGGAGACTCACTCCTTTCGGCACTCTTTCCAGTGCCGTCCATGTGCCATGCAGCTCAAATCAAGCTCGGGACCTCTGGGTATCACTAATAAAGTTCCAGGGCTCGAAAATGAATGTCGAGAAGCGGGTGGTACCCAAAATAACAATTGATGTTTGGGCCCTACGACCCATTCACTGTCAACATTCAGGACAAAGGGGGTCGAACCGCGGTCGTCATGGGATGCTCGCTCCGTTAATTCAGAAGTGTTGCGCAACGCATGGATGGAGTTGGGTGAGAAGCAAACGAAGCGATTTTTCCAAGTATTCAATGTTATTGGAGTGGTAGACTCGATGGGATGCATGACGCGATGTTCATCTGATAATGCTGAAGGATTTGACACAGCGCAATATTGCGACGGCTGGCTCATCACTGCATCCCACAGCCGAACAGTGTGATCCTCCGAACCAGTGACGATGCGAGTGCCGTCCGGCGAGAACGAGACCGACCTTACTGAATGAGTGTGCCCCCGCAAGGGTTCACCGACTGGCTCCCCTGTCCCTGCATCCCACAGCCGAACAGTCTTATCGCCCGAACCAGTGACGATGCGAGTACCGTCCGGCGAGAACGAGACCGACCAAACTGGATAAATGTGCCCCCGCAAGGGCTCACCGACTGGCTCCCCCGTCCCTGCATCCCACAGCCGGACAGTCTTATCTTGCGAACCGGTGACGATGCGAGTACCGTCTGGCGAGAACGAGACCGACGAAACTGAAGAAGTGTGCCCGCACAAGAGCTCACCGACTGGCTCCCCTGTCCCTGCATCCCACAGCCGGACAGTCTTATCTTGCGAACCAGTAACGATGCGAGTGCCGTCCGGCGAGAACGAGACCGAGTTTACGGACTGAGTGTGCCCCCGCAAGGGCTCACCGACTGGCTTCCCCGTTCCTGCATCCCACAGCCGAACAGTCTTATCCGAAGAACCAGTGACGATGCGAGTGCTGTCCGGTGAGAACGAGACCGACCAAACTGGATAGATGTGCCCCCGCAAGGGCTCACCGACTGGCTCCCCCGTCCCTGCATCCCACAGCCGAACAGTGTTATCTGAAGAACCAGTGACGATGCGAGTGCCATCCGGCGAGAACGAGACCGAGAAAACTGGAGAAGTGTGCCCCCGCAAGGGCTCACCGACTGGCTCCCCTGTCCCTGCATCCCACATCCGAACAGTGTTATCCCAAGAACCAGTGACGATGCGAGTGCCGTCTGGCGAGAACGAAACCGAGTTTACTTTATCAGTGTGCCCCCGCAAGGGCTCACTGACCGGCTCCCCCGTCCCTGCATCCCACAGCCGAACAGTCATATCCGAAGAACCAGTAACGATGCGAGTGCCGTCCGGCGAGAACGAAACCGACCGAACTAAATCAGTGTGCCCCCGCAAGGGCTCACTGACCGGCTCCCCCGTCCCTGCATCCCACAGCAAAACAGTCTTATCCGAAGAACCAGTGACGATGCGAGTGCCGTCCGGCGAGAACGAGACCGACAAAACTAAATCAGTGTGCCCCCGCAAGGGCTCACCGACGGGCTCCCCTGTCCCTGCATCCCACAGCCGGACAGTCTTATCCAAAGAACCAGTGACGATGCGAGTGCCACCCGGCGAGAACGAGACCGACGTTACTGAATGAGTGTGCCCCCGTAAGGGCTCACCGACTGGCTCCCCCGTCCCTGCATCCCACAGCCGAACAGTTTTATCCGAAGAACCAGTGACAATGCGAGTGCCGTCCGGCGAGAACGAGACCGACCAAACTAAATCAGTGTGCCCCCGCAAGGGCTCACCGACTGGCTCCCCCGTCCCTGCATCCCACAGCCGAACAGTCTTATCCTCCGAACCAGTGACGATGCGAGTGCCGTCCGGCGAGAATGAGACCTGATGAAACTGAATCAGTGTGCCCCCGCAAGGGCTCGCCGACTGGCTTCCCCGTTCCTGCATCCCACAGCCGAACAGTGTTATCCCAAGAACCAGTAATGACGCGAGTGCCGTCCGGCGAGAATGAGACCGACGAAACTGACTCAGTGTGCCCCCGCAAGGGCTCACCGACTGGCTCCCCCGTCCCTCCATCCCACAGCCGAACAGTCTTATCCCAAGAACCAGTGACGATGCGAGTGCCGTCCGGCGAGAACGAGACCGACGAAACTGAAGAAGTGTGCCCCCTGAGCACAGTCTGAACGGCTGGCCAATTTATATCACGTCCAGATGCCACACGAAGAGTATTCGGAAACCGTGCAGAAAACTTTCTCGATAGCAGAGAGTTGGCAGGCAAGAATGGGAGTGCTGATACATACAGATGTGGCGTGCTGTGTAAAATCATGCCGGCGAAGACTTGAATGAACCTCTGTACGTCCATTGCAGTCGACGAGACATCTTTGAATTTGGGATGGCCCTGTGGTTGCGCATGAGCGCTTTATCCGACACTCAGTAGCAGTGTGCTTACCTTCAGCCACTGGGCAATGGGCGGAAGGGCAAGAACTGCACCGCTGAGTGCATTGATCAAGGCGAGTAACTCGAGCCAGAAAAACAGCCGCTCGTTGTCGAAGAACAATTTTACTTCTTTCCCGAGCTCCTTGTCGAAGGGTATGGTTCGTACGTGCGAAGTCCAAAATCGAGAGGAATATGACAGATGTGGGGGGATGCATTTTTGGACTCGTTCTTTCAGCCCGGGGTCTTCGCGATTAGGAAGATACGACGACTTTAAATCACAGATATTGAAACAAAGACCGTGTTCCATCACTCGAAGTGACGCTAATGCAAGGTCGTGTTGCGCCTTTGACAGGTCGATAAAAAACTCTCCACTGGATCGTTCGTCCGTCAAGAAATCATGGAAGGATGCGTGAAGGGGTCGAATTGGGGAATCTGGGTTGGTAGTGCCGCTGAGGAGGGACCCCATGCTTTTCACCACAAGCTCCACGTCGAAACGCTCCTCTTCCTTCGGAAAATGAGACCTCATGGCCGTCAGGGACGCTAAAGGAAGGGGTTCGGCTGTCCCTAGTATTTGTCCCATCACTGAACGAAATCTCGCCAGCCTCGTCAAATGCTGATTCTGCGTATGCAGAGATGTATCCTCTTGCATGATATCTTTTAAAATGAGGCGATACATGCTGTGCAACAACATGTTTCTTTCAGCAGGATCGCGTGACACCACGGTCTTGTAGCAATCCTTTGCAGATAGCCCCACATGGGACTTTTTGATGTATCCGCAAGCGAGACGCGCCCACTCGAAAAGTCCATCAGCTTTCTCAGCGAGGACTGCAAACTCTCTGTCCTGAAAATCCAACCCCTTCAACTCCTTGGATACGTAAGCATGGATATCACGCTTTGCGTCTGCTGGCGGGATATCATCCATCGACATCTGTCGAATATGCTGAACACCACGAAACTCGTCATTGATGTCATCAAGCGGGCGAGAGGTAACGATAAAGCGTAAGTTGCCTGGGAGGTCTGTGATTTTGGGAACGGCGGGGTTTTGATGTTTGCCGGCTAGAATGCGGAGGAGGTCTTTCCGTGTCTCTATTCCACCGCTCTCATCCAGTGCATCGATCACGATCACGATCGGTTCCCTAGTTGACTTAGATGACTTTCCCAGTGGTTCGATAAGAAGCTTCTTCCACTGCTGGATGATATCCGGCGTTTTCTTGAGTGAATTTGTGGTCTTAACTGCATCTGCTAATGCCTGCCTCATCTCCGGATCACGGTCGGCCAGGTCGCGCGCAATCGTGGAAAATATCTTTTCATGGCGACGATCTGCTTCTCGCTGGCGGTCAAAACAGTAACACGAACCAAGCCCTCCCGCATTGTCGAACCAATTAGAAATCTGAGTGTGGGCGATGGCCGATTTACCCTTGCCTGCAGGGCCAGATAGCCACAGCACGCGTGGAATGTTATCCCCAGTGCTGTTGACCCATTCCATGATCTCGGAAAGGATTTTCGTGCGGGTTCCTTGAAGGCATTCTTTTCTGGTATCTAGTCCCGCGCCATCTGCGTAAGTCATACTGCTGAGGTCCAATATATCTTCTGAAAAGGTATGAATATATGTCGAGTTACAAGGACGGAGTTACAAGGACGGCCGAACCCTTACCCGTACGGTGGATGTGTGTGGCTACGTTGCGAGTGACTTGGTCCCGAAAGTTTTGCATGAGCGTATCCAACGCGTTACTGTGCTGTTGGATCGTATCGTTCGTTTCCGAGACAACGTTTTTTCCGAGCCCCGCCCCTGTGATAACGCAAGAAACTTGAGACGGTGCAAAGCCCAACAGCTTGTTAAGACTCACAAAGGTTCTTGGTCTCCGAATAATTTGTGATGAATCGAGCACATTCAAGGGTCCGCTGAGAGATCTGTCGAAGGATAATGCGCATCGACGAGAGTTGATCAAGCATCTTGTTTTGTGTTATGAGGCTGTAAACCTGACACAACTTCTTGAGAAGTCCGTGCACCGCTTTGTCGCGATCCACTTGCGCTAGAATAATCTGCACAAATGATTGCTGAGCGGTGGGAGAGAGGGGAGAGAAAATGAAAACACACTTTGGCTGCAGAAGACAAGATGTCCAGCGCGATCTTTGCATATGGATGTAGCTATGGAAGTAGATTAGTTAGGTTCCGATCCAAAGAAGGGTCCATACATTTGCGATCTTCTCTATAACTTCGTCGAATATCCTGAGAGGTTGAAGATATTTATCCTTGAAATTGTCAACAACATCAAGATAGGCTTGTGCGTCTTGGCCAACAGATGCCACGGTTCTCGCAGGTCCCCAAAGTCGATGCATGCGTTTTGTAGTATGCTGTGCATTCTGAAGTGCCGATTGGGTCTCAGCCACTTCCACACCAGACGGACCAGCCTGAACCTGCGTGGCCACCAAAATTTAAAGAGAGCACAAAGACTGAAGGGCAAATTTGGGAACCTACCTCGATATTCGGGGGAGCAGGGCTACGGCTACGGGAATCCTTCGAGCGCTTGTTGCAATCGTAATCGTATTCCAGGACACTCACTACACATGCAAGTTGACTCACCGAGATCCTTAACTTGTCCTTGACCTCCCCAAGAAACCGACGGGCTTTGCCATGCCGGGGTTGGTGCTAATGCGTCAATGTCAGTGTTTGAAGTGAATTAAGCGATCCTCGAAAATCACGTACCTCACTTCCACCAGCTGCTGTTTCGCTAGATTCGTGGTTTTGCCATTGAGTAGCATTCCTGGATGAGTTGCCTGTGCTCATTGTGAATAGTAGTTGAAGCGAAGATAAGAGGCCCACATCATTTATATAAAATAACAGGCCATTAACGCCTCGAGGCAATATTTGTTCCAGTGTGTCGCAAGCGCTAATCGATAAGCATTTGCATTTGAATTTTGAACACGTTCTTCTGATGGTCGAATGTTGGATGATTGTGACAAAAATAGACTCGGCAATGCTTGTGACATGACCCTTCCTCTAACATACGCATCACCAACGTCATCAACCCTGCTAGTGCTACCGCGGCAACCCCCTTCAACATCTCCACTTTTCCACAAAAGAAGGCTGGCGCTCCCTTACAAATGATCATTTTCACCCGCCATCTTCAGCATGTTTGAGCGGGTAGGTACCCAAGACAGACGACTGCACCATCCGCGTTGTCAGTGACGGTGCAAAAGTCAGGAAGGGTCCTAGGTTCTGATTGGTACCAAGATCGATCCTATCATGATGCAGAGTGTTATCACGTCATAACAACTACTTTTCGTCTGTTCAATCTCGTCTAGATTTCACTCACCGAACGCGACATACGCACCATCAACGTCATGCAGCCACCGCACCCTCATGGAAAACTGGCTTCTCTAACGTAGCAGATGCTGAAGTTGCCACTCGTATCGTTTTCCTGCATGTTCCCTTGCGTCGATCAAGTTGGCCATGCGGACTGAGAGGTGAACCGGTACCTTGAAATTTTTTCAATCTTCTGGCTGTCCTATTACACCGGAACTAGTCCCGGCGACCTGAAGTGGGGATTGTCCGGCGATTGTACTGGAGTCCTAGTTGTTGAAGGTTGCAACTGTTTTCTCCCCTCTGGTGTCGAATGGCTGAACGATGTAGGTTTGTGTTATGCATGTCCTAGCTGGGTATTAATAACACGATCGAACGAATGGTTATCGTGTATGTAGGGCTACACCGCTCAAGCATAAGCTGTCGCATTTGCCAGCGTCACTCAAGGTATCATTTCTTATCATTCCACATACGGTGCTGTTCTCTCGTGGTCTATTCGTAAAGTTACACCGAAATACACCTATTCTCCAAAAGCGTTGAACCCTCTCACGAATGATCTCGTTGCATATGCTTCGAACACCATCAATCATCTTCTTTGTCTGTCACCATCATCCCTAAAGTGTCCGACACAACCTGCCATAGATACCCACCTGTTCCGTAGGGCGTGACGCTCTTAAGCCGGGGTGCCATCGCATGCAAAAACTGCGAGATCGAGATTGACTCCCCCGTCCGCGTTAGCTCTGGCGATGGCTCACGCAAAGGGCGCACAGGGTACTTGATCTCGATAGGCAACGGCCCGACTTCTAGTTTGATGAAGCGTGGGTTGGGTTGCAGACCTACTTCGTCTTCGTCTGTATTATTATTTCTGTCAGCGCATCGACCCGCACAGTGGCATTCAGGCAGAGCGAGATCTCGCGCAACTCGCGACAACGCCTGACAAGGATATTCAATGCATACAAGGATACGGGGGTGTTACGCAGTCCCAAGTCAAAAATTTGGAAATGGGGGCATGTACGAGCGAGCGCGGAGATGTCGGCGTCGGTGAGTATGATCGAGGTTGCGGGGCCGGGAGAGAGCACGAGGGTGCTGAGGCCTGCAAGACTCTGGTGCGTGAGTAGGGAGTGAAAGTCAAAAGAGGGGATGGGAGGCGTTGGCAAAGCCAACAACAGTACTTGCATTTCTCGGTTAGGATGATGTGCTCTAGTTTTGTGTTTGTGTGGATGAGAGATGTGGATAATTGGGACCAGGTGTTGGCTGGAATGTAATGTCCTGCATTGAACTAGATTGTTTTGAGGTCGAGGAATGCGATGTTGGAGGAATTGAATTTGAAGATTCGGAAGGTGCGCAGGAAAGATATGAAAAGGTCCAAAGTGTCATCGGATGAGATATGCAAGTGGGTGAGTGCGACAAAGGGCTGGGGGATGCGAAGAGGTGTGGTAGGTATACCTGTGAGACCTAGCTTTAAGGTGAGGGATCAGAGAGATGGCCAGGGTACAATGACGTTGAGCATGGTGCTCGAGACATCATGCCAGTGGCATGTCAAAGAAAGCTCGGTGAGACCATCGGGATAGCTCATAAGGAGCGATTCAATTTGTGAGGAATTTTTGTCGGCCCCAAGGACGCTTCCCTTTATCTCAAGAGCTTTGAGACGGTGGGCAGAGGTAGGTAGTACAGGGATGATGGCTTTGCGAAATGTTAATGAAGAAAAGAGGGGAGATTTTTTTTTTGGCACACGCAAGGAGGGAAGGGTATGCAGTGTTGTCTTGTCATGGTTGGGAGAGAATCCGTATGCGGGAAGTGAGAGCTAATGGACGGAATGTATCAAGATGGAGCACGGAACGTCTGTATGAGAAAATGAGAGGCCAGAAGCTTCTCAGATTAGAATTAAGAATGTCGAGTGCTGAATCTGAACGTCAACCATGTGCATGAGTTTCCGGTGATGGTATAACATTAGGCAATAAATGTGAGCAGAAACGTCGTCATCGTATATCGTTGAATACAAAATAAAATACGCAAAGTAAGGTGCGGGGAAGTGTCTGAATAAGGAAACTCCTGGAAGCCTTTGCACACGAACCCCTCGAATATTTGGAATCTTCTACGGTCCCATCGGGCCACCCCGGCCATCTGAATTCGGAATTAATGTGCCGGGGCATGGTTGTAATGCATTTGTTGTGCTTATTTAATGACAATGATACCCGGCCGAACGAACTATTCGCCCATGCAGGCCTTCCCAGTTCCATCATACACCTATTACTAACAGCTCCATCATCGATCGCTATGATCTTGCTGTACTAACCAAAAACACCTCATCAGCATCATTCTTAATTCTCACCCTCTCCTCGTCGCACCCACCAAACGAGAATACACATCATCGACGTCGTCGATCCTTTCTATGCAGCCATCACCCGTTCACCCAGCAGCCAAGCTCCTTGTCATGGCCTTGCAAGCTCAAGAGTCCAAAGTGCGTTCTTCTCTAACTCATTTCTTATCTACTTGTTAACTTAATTCAGATGGGTGTTCTACTACAAACATGGCCATCATTCTCTCAGGAGAATTACTCAAGAAATCAGAGATTCTGAGAGAACCTTCTCGTGATGGGCCTCCACCTTGGCGAAGTCCGGATCAGGGGATACAGATTCGCATGCCAGTGCTCGGTGAACTCGGAAGTGAGTTACTTCCTCATTCTGTTTACGTTTTCTTATGAAGCGGTGCGAATTTATCGACATCTAGCCTTTCACAGAAGAACAGCTCTCAAATCCGTTTCACTCCCGTCGAGGAACAACAACTTGAAAGAGTATTTATCCTCTATCCAATCACCCTCTACATCTACTAACTATCAATTCACATATCTTCAAAGGAATCGCCGATTCAGGCATAATATGATAAAAGTCAGCATCGCAGGTTCATCCACTAGTGTCCTCGCCCTACACTACCTCAATCGCTTCAACATCACAAAGTCCTCTCCAAATTCGACCTCTGCTGCATAGCTCGTGTCGTCAACGCCACACCTCTCACGTGCATCGGCACACCACCCCAGAGGAAGCAGGCTACGTCGACATCCTTGAGACGACGAAGATCAGTGGAGACTGCTTTACTGTCCTCCGTCAGCTCGTTCCCATGGGTATCAAGAACACACAAAGACGCGCACAGCGACAATCGTGCTTAGTGGACCAACAGCCAACCATCTTGACGACCTCGACAACAGCGTCAATGTGATCGAATCCCTTATAGAAGATCCACGGCTAGTTCCTGGTCCAAGCACGACAGAACCAGAACTAAGCAAGCTTCTCATCGAGGCAAACGGGAGCGGGATAAGGAAGCTGGCACAACACTGTGAGGCGGAATGCCACAGTACTCAAATTCATACCTAGAACACTCGCTGAGAACGCGCTGGGAGGTGCTGAGGGTAACGAAGTTCTCAACTCGATTGTAGTCCTTAGATTCTTCCTGCTGAGTCTCCAGAAACCGACTATCGAAGGGCTCCTTGACGAGGACACCAGTTGCGATACCTGGTGCCCCTGCGTCTAATATCACCCTCAATTCAATGTCCCTATCGTGTGGAACTTCTACTCTTCATGTTGCCTCGATGATATCCTCCATTTGCTTGCTCTTGTCCAGTGCCTTTTTCCCTCTAGCTGTGTTTTCATCCCTCACAGCTCACAACATCCTTACACGCATCGTTCTCACCGCCTTTGCCGTAGACATCGCAATTGTATGCTGTACAGTATAGCAATGAACTATATATTTCGTCCCATCTCATTGTTAGCCCACTTTGAATGTACTCAGGAGTCGGTGCAACGCGAACTTGAATGACCACAGATGACCGCACAGATGTCCTTCGGTTCAGCTTCTCAGTCCGTCAACAGAAACCACCAATGTTATGCATCGCTTTGACGGAATCCACGGCGTACTCGCAACCGCATTTTGGCGGAATCCGCATGCCTTGTCCGTCGTTATGTGCTCTCACAAACCAGCACTGACATCGCGAGTGCCATACTATCAGCTCACGTCGTTCACATGGACAATCCTAAATTGGCTGGATATGAAATAGAATATGAAGTAGGATCCACCGCACACTCGTTCACATCTAATTTCTCCATAATAGATCCATTGCTGCAAGCAACGTTGGTACTAAGGTCTGCAAATATTGATTTTAGTAAGTGCAAGTAGCAGAAAGGGCTTTGAAGAAACTCACTCCTCTCGACACTTCTGCCAATGCTGTCCATGTGCCATGCGGCTCAAATCAAGCTCGGGACCTCCTCTGGGTATCACCAATGTAGTCACAGGGTTATAGAATGAGTATCGAGAAGCGGGTGGTACCCAGAACAAGAGTCGATGTTTGGGTCCTGCCACCCATCCACTGTCAAAATTCAGGATAAAGGGGGTCGAACGGCAGTCATCATGGGATGCTCCCTCCGTTAATTCAGAAGTGTTGCGCAACGCATGGATGGAGTTGGACGAGAAGCAAACGAACTGATTGTTCCAAGTATTCAATGACATGGGAGTGGTGGACTGAATGGGATACATGATGCGATGTTCATCTGATAATGCTGAAGGATTTGATACAGCGCAATATTGCGACGGCTGGCTCATCACTGCATCCCATAGCCGAACAGTTTTATCGTGCGAACCAGTGACGATGCGAGTGCCGTCCGGCGAGAACGAGACCGACACTACTGAATTAGTGTGCCCCCGCAAGGGCTCACCGACTGGCTCCCCTGTCCCTGCATCCCACAGCCGAACAGTGTTATCGCGCGAACCAGTGACGATGCAAGTGCTGTCCGGCGAGAACGAGACCGACCAAACTGAATCAGTGTGCCCCCGCAAGGGCTCACCGACCGGCTCCCCCGTCCTTGCATCCCACATCCGAACAGTGTTATCCCAGGAACCAGTGACGATGCGAGTGCCGTCCGGCGAGAACGAGACCGAGTTTACTGGATGAGTGTGCCCCCGCAAGGGCTCACTGACCGGCTCCCCCCGTCCCTGCATCCCACAGCCGAACAGTGTTATCTTGCGAACCAGTGACGATGCGAGTACCATCCAGCGAGAACGAGACCGAGTTTACTGAATCAGTGTGCCCCCACAAGGGCTCACCGACTGGCTCCCCTGTCCTTGCATCCCACAGCCGAACAGTCATATCTTGAGAACCAGTGACGATGCGAGTGCCGTCCGGCGAGAACGAGACCGAGTTTATTGAACGAGTGTGCCCCCGCAAGGGCTCACCGACTGGCTCCCCTGTTCCTGCATCCCACAGCCGAACAGTGTTATCCACAGAACCAGTGACGATGCGAGTGCCGTCCGGCGAGAACGAGACCGACAAAACCGAATCAGTGTGCCCCAGCAAGGGCTCACCGACTGGCTCCCCCGTCCCTGCATCCCACAGCCGAACAGTTTTATCCGAAGAACCAGTGACGATGTGAGTGCCGTCCGGCGAGAACGAGACTGACATTACAAAAGAAGTGTGCGCCCGCAAGGGCTCATGGACTGGCTCCCCCATCCTTGCATCCCACAGCCGAACAGTCTTATCAAAAGAACCAGTGACGATGCGAGTGCCGTCCGGCGAGAACGAGACCGACGCTACAAAAAAAGTGTGCCCCCGCAAGGGCTCACCGACTGCCTCCCCCGTCCCTGCATCCCACAGCCGAACAGTCTTATCCCAAGAACCAGTGACGATGCGAGTGCCGTCCGGCGAGAACGAGACCGACCAAACTGAATGAGTGTGCCCCTGCAAGGGCTCACCGACTTGCTCCCCTGTTCTTGCATCCCACAGCCGAACAGTGTTGTCGTGCGAACCAGTGACGATGCGAGTGCCGTCCGGCGAGAACGAGACCGAGTTTATTGAACGAGTGTGCCCCCCGCAAGGGCTCACCGACTGGCTCCCCTGTTCCTGCATCCCACATCCGAACAGTGTTATCCCAAGAACCAGTGACGATGCGAGTGCCGTCCGGCGAGAACGAGACCGACGTTACTGAATGAGTGTGCCCCCGCAAGGGCTCACCGACTGGCTCCCCCGTCACTGCATCCCACAGCCGAACAGTGTGATCCCAAGAACCAGTGACGATGCGAGTGCCGTCTGGCGAGAACGAGACCGACGTTACTTTATCAGTGTGCCCCCGCAAGGGCTCACCGACTGGCTCCCCCGTCACTGCATCCCACAGCCGAACAGTGTGATCCCAAGAACCAGTGACGATGCGAGTGCCGTCTGGCGAGAACGAGACCGACGTTACTTTATCAGTGTGCCCCCGCAAGGGCTCACTGACCGGCTCCCCTGTCCCTGCATCCCACAGCCAAACAGTCTTATCCCAAGAACCAGTGACGATGCGCGTGCCGTCCGGCGAGAACGAGACCGATGTTACTTCATCAGTGTGCCCCCGCAAGGGCTCACCGACTGGCTCTCCCGTCCCTGCATCCCACAGCCGAATAGTCTTATCCTCCGAACCAGTGACGATGCGAGTGCCGTCCGGCGAGAATGAGACCGAGTGTACTGAATCAGTGTGGCCCCTGAGCACGGTCTGAACAGCTGGCCAATTTATATCACGTCCAGATGCCACATGAAGAGTATTCGGAAACCGTGCAGAAAACTTTCTCGATAGCAGAGAGTTGGCAGGCGAGAATGGGAGTGCTGATACATACAGATGTGGCGTGCTATGTAAAATCATGCCGCCGAAGACTTGAATGAACCTCTGTACGTCCATTGCGGTCGACAATACATCTTTGAATTTAGGATGGCCCTTTGGTTGCGCATGAGCGCTTTATCTGGCACTCAGTAGCAATGCACTTACCTTCAGCCACTGGGAAATGAGGGAGAGGGCAGGAACTGCGCCGCCGAGCGCATTGATCAGGGCGAGCGACTCGAGCCAGAAAAACAGCCGCTCGTTGTCGAAGAACAATTTCACTTCGTTCGCGAGCTCCTTGTTGAAGGGTATGGTTTGTAAGTGCGAAATCCAAAATCGAGAGGAATATGACAGATGTGGGGGGATGCATTTTCGGACTCGTTCTTGTAACCCGGGATCTTCGTTATTAGGCAGATACGACGACTTTAAATCACAGATATTGAAGCGAAGGCCGTCTTTCACGTCTTTCATCACTCGAAGTGATGCGAATGCAAGGTCGCGTTGCGCCTTTGACAGGTCGATAAAAAATTCTCCACTGGATCGTTCGTCCGTCAAGAAATCATGGAAGGATGCGTGAAGGGGTCGGATTGGGGAATCTGGGTTGGTGGTGCCGCTAAGGAGGGAACCCATGCATTTTACCATAAGCTCCACATCGAAATTGTCTTCTTGCGTTGGAAAATGGCGTCTCATGGCGTTCAGGGAAGCTATAGGAAGGGGCTCAGCTGTACCTAGTATTTGTCCCATCACTGAGCGAAATCTCGCTAGCGCGGTCGAACGCAGTTTCTGCGAATGCTGGATATTGGTAGATGTATCCCCGTGCATGATATCTGTTAAAATGAGGCGATACATGTCGTACAACAGCACGCTTCTCTCAGCAGGATCGCGTGACACCACAGCCTCGTAGCAATCCATTCGACATAGCCCAGGATGAGACTTTTTGATGTATCCGCAAGCGAGACGCGCCCACTCGAAAAGTCCATCAGCTTTCTCAGCGAGGACTGCAAACTCTCTGTACTGAAAATTCAACCCCCCCAACTCCTTGGATACATAAGCATGGATGTCACGCTTTGCGTCTGCTGGCGGAATATCATCCATCGACATCTGTCGAATATGCTGAACATCACGAAACTCGTCATTGATGTCATCAAGCGGGCGAGAGGTAACGATGAAGCGTAAGTTGCCTGAGAGGTCTGTGATTTTGGGAACGGCGGGGTTTTGATGTTTGCCAGCTAGAATGCTGAGGAGGTCTTTCCGTGTTTCGACTCCACCGCTCTCGTCCAGTGCATCGATCACGATCACGATGGGTTCCCCAGTTGACCCAGATGACTTCTCCAGTGGTTCGATGAGAAGCTTCTTCCACTGCTGGATGATATCCGCCGTTTTCTTGAGCGAATTCGCAGTCTTAACTGCATCTGCCAATGCCTGCCTCATCACTGGATCATGGTCAGCCAGGTCGTGCGCGATCGTGGAAAAGATCTTTTCGTGGCGACGATCTGCTTCTCGCTGGCGGTCAAAACAGTAACACGAACCAAGTCCTCCCACGTCTTCGGACCACTTAGCAATGGTGTGGGCGATGGCTGATTTGCCCTTGCCCGCAGGGCCAGATAGCCACAGCACACGTGGAACGTTGTCCCCAGTGCTGTTGACCCATTCCGTAATCTGGGAAAGGATATCCGTGCGCGTCCCTTCAAGGCATTGTTTTCTGGTATCTAGTCCCGCACCCTCTGCATAAGTCATACCGCTGAGGTCCAATATTTCTTCTGAAAAGTATTAATATATGTCAAGTCATAAGGACGTCCGAACCCTTACCCGTACGGTGGACGTGTATGACTATGTCGTGAACCTGTGTGCCTATGTCGTGGACACCTATGGCTACGTCGCGAGCAACCTGGTCCCGGAAGTTTTGCATAAGCCCCTCGAATACGTCATTGTACTTTTTGATCGTATCGTCCGTTTCCGAGAGGACGTCCTTTTCAAGTTTCTCCCCTGCGATCATGGTAGAAGCTCGAGACGGTACAAAGCGCAACAGCTTGTAACACTCACAAAATTTCTTGGTCTCCGAATATTTTGTGATAAACTGAGCACATTCACGGGTCTGCTGAGAAATATTTCCAAGGATAGCGTGCATCGACAAAATTTGTTTAAGGTTCTCGTCTTGTGTCATGAAGCTGTAAACTTCATATATCTTCTCGAGAAGTTTGAGCACCGCTGCGTCGCGATCTGCTTGAGCTAGAATAATCTGTACAGATGATTGCTAAGCGGTAGGAGATAGGAACAGATAAAGAGACAACATACTTTGGCAGCAAAAGACAACACGCCCAGTGCCATCTTTGCATATGGATGTACCTGTAGAACTACATTAGTTCGGTTCCGATTCGAGAGGAGGGCCTGCATACATCCGCAATCTTCTCAATGACTTGGTCGAATATCCTGAGGGGTTTGAGATATGTATCCTGGAAACTGTTAGCAGCATCGAGATCCGCTTGTGCGTCTTGGCCAACAGACGCCACAGTTATGGCAGGTCCAGAAAGTGGATGCATGCGTTTTGTAGCCTCTTGTGCATCCCGAAGTGCCGATTGGGGATCAGCCTCGACTTCCACACCAGACGATGCAGCCTGATCCTGGGTGGCCACCAAAATTTAGAGAGAGCACAGAGACTAAAGGGCAAGTTTGAGAACCTACCTCGATATTCGGGAGAGCACTGGCAGGGCTACTAGTACGGCTACGGGAATCGTTTGAGGGCTTGTTGCAGTGTTAGTCGTATTCCAGGATCTCATTACGCATGCTCGTGGACTCACCGATACCCTTGACTTATTTGCACCGTCCTTAGATTTGTGGGTTTGTTGAGTGGAATGCCTCGACGATTTGCCTTTCCTCCGAGTCATTGTGAATAGCAGTTGAAGAGAGTTGAAGAGAAGTAAGATAAGAGACCCATAAAACAACAGGCTGTTAACGCCTCTGAGTCGAGGCAATACTTGGCAATTGCAGCGCTAAGCGATAAGAATTTGAATTTGAATTTCGACCCCCGTTCTTCTGATCGTCGAATGTTGGATGATTGTGACAAAAATAACCTCAAGCAACACGACTCCACCATCCACGTTGTCAGCGACATGGTGCAAAAGTTAACAAAGGTCCCGATTTCTGATTGGTAGCAAGATCGATCCAACTACTTTTCGTCCGTTCAATCTGTTGTTGGAGACTAGACTGTTGTACTAATAAGCCAAGAATATTGTTCTTAATTCTCCTCGTCTCACCCACCGAACGCGACATACGACGCATTGCATCAGGCACCGCACCCTCTTAATCCTCAACGTTGCAACCTCCACTTTTTCACCAAGAAGACTGGCGCTCCCTTCAAATGGTCGTTTCCATCCGCCACCCCCAGCGTGTCCTAGATGCCCTCCCGTCAGTCAAGCAGGTACCCAAGGCAGACAACTCCGCCATCCACGTCATCAGCGCCAGGGTGCAAAGTCCAACATCATTGCCGTATCCGTACGTTCTGAGCTCTCTAGATCAGATACTATTGCACCACTTTTAGGACAGGATCAGTCCTTATTCGGCATTATTCTTCATCCGACTCGGATACCTAGATACTGACTGTTCCTCAGGTATACGTTCACCTCTTCCGCCTTCTTACAAAATCCACGACATCGCTACGAAATCTATTCTGCATGTCCTTTTTCTCCCAATGTCTTTCAAGAACAATGCTTATCAAGGCACCGATCCTCCGGAAGAAGTCCTCAAGGCAGGTGCACTCTACCACGAGTGTGGTATCGTTAGCCTACGGATGCCAAGTCTTGCGATGACGGACGCTGCCGACGCACAGGTAGGTGAGTCAGTTTGCTTGGTTGGTGACGATGTCGATGATGACGGATACGCGCAGGCCACGAACTTGGTGTATATGACAGAGTCCACAACATATAGGACGAATAAATTCCATGAACTTATCGAGCTATGGAGGGCGAACAGCACCGAACTTGCAACGATATCATACAACATGACAAATTGCAAGCGCGCCACAACCGTATTGGTTCCTTCCCTCCCGCGATAAGCAACACACTTCCTCATCCGCCTAGTATTACTTGACTGAATTCCTTGACAACCTCCAAACCCTCCAAACACGCATCCAGCACTCTCCAGGGCCCCTACTCCCAAACCACAGCCGCTTACCCTGGTCCTACACAACGTCAACCATCGTCGCTCACGTTTCCGACGCATGCTGACTTTGTGGTTATCGGCTCCGGTATTACTGGGACGTCGTTTGTGAGGAGTATTTTGGATAGTCCAAGCGCTGATGGGCATTTGTTGTGTTGGAAGCGGGAAATGTGTGTTCTGGGAGGTAAGTATCGCATTGACTGTTTCATAAAGCAGCGCATTAGGCATATCTCACTGCCTCTATATCATTAGCTACACCTCGCTCAAGCGTAATCACAGACAAGTTATCGCCCAAAAGATGATTAAATTGAGGTTGGTGTATCTCGAGGGACTACGAAACATCGCAGAGCAGGAAGGCATTCTTGTAGGATATCAGTAGCGGGAAGTAGAATCAGTAGATGTGTTTTATAACTCGAATATGTTGGAGAAGGAGAAGACAAAGGTCCAAAGTTTCCCGTGCGTCTAAGCTGTGCCCATTCTCCCGGCTTTCCCCGGTTTTCTCCCCTACTCAAGCACGCCCCTTTACTCTCGTACGGTCGCCATCTGTCGGGTTAAGGTTGCAAACTCTCAAGTGCATTTATGTGTGCTCACTGGCGATTTACTTCCTGTTTCTTTACTCCTGTTCAGTTGTGTCAGATGCCTATCTACTGTTTCAGTGTATGGGACTTCACATTCCTTTGTCCATAGGCCATGAAATAGCTAGGTTCTAGGTGGGTACATCGCTGTGCAATGTCCATTAACTCAAACTCTGATCATCCCAGTCATGCGTGTGGTATCAATTTATGCTCAGAACGAGCTGGCGCCAGACCAGACAGATTAGTATTAGCGAGGGATGGCCAGCAAAATGCAGTATGACATCTGGCTTCATTTGCATGTTAACGAGGTGGGTCTTTTTCATTTGCGGGGTTATGCTATTGAAGTCCTGACGCAGATCAGGCTTACCTTGAACGATTCGGGTCCTGCCAACCTGTTTCGCGTCGTCATCAATCCCCAAAGCTTTTCGCAATCTGTGGAAAATTCATTCCATCGTTCGTATCTCTTTCGGGACCAGTTCTGCGAGCGCCATTGTTTCTGTTGGTTTGTTTTGATATCTTGTACTCATTTGTAACCTGGTGCCGTTCGTTCTGACATCTGCCTGAAGGTACTCGTCGATGCACTCGTCATCTCAATATGTCAGTCTGTTAAGACATCCTGATAAATGTGACAGGTCGGCTCCCTGTTCATTCCACCTTTCGTTCGAAGAAAAATGGAGTCCTCAGGTATGTGTATCATTTCCAAGTGAGATCCCTGAGTTAATGTGCGCTGCCGTTGCGTCTTACCAGAATCAGCGCTTTGTCCATGCCTGTTGGCATTCGAAAAGAAGTGCATGCCTTCGTTGGCGCATTCATCCTATCGTCTGTTGCATCTGAGCAGCAAACTTTGGGACACTCAAAAAATGAGCCAAGCTGACGAAGTTACCGATGTGTTTTTCTCAATCTAGAATCTATGCAGGTCATCTCTGACGCACTGTAAAGTACTGAGACTAGGTAGAGTGTTGGCTAAGATCTCTTCCGGCGGTATAATGAGGTGCTTGCTCCTTCTCTTCGTCTTATAGTACTTCTCCAGGATACAGAGCTCATGGAAGGCGCGTTTCGTCTGGAACTGCGATCATTCGGTAGGCCCTTTTTCATACCATTTACAGCCATCTGCTAAATCGTCCCCCCCCTGCAAGGATTACAAACGATGCACCATACACCCAATTTTTGGGGTTTCTCGCATACTTCCCTCATTTCCTTCCGCGACCTTAACGATCACTCATGAGCAGTTCTTCGGAGGTTCATCATAACGCCCTCCAACAGCTTCGCGAGTCAGTCTGTCCCTCCTAGTCTCATATACAAAGATTCACATTGTCACGCATTTATCACGAGTTCAATGCAGAGTTATGGGACTCAATTGTAGTCCTTAGACTATTCCCGTCGAGTCTCCAGAAATCCACTATCGAAGAGCTCCTTGACGAAGATGCCCGTTGTGTTAACCTGGTGTACTGGCGTCCAATATCACCTATCGTGCCGGAACCTCTCCTACTCTTCACATTGCCTCAATTTCATCCTCCTTTCGCTTGCTATTGCCTGATGCCTTTTCCCTCCCGCTGTTTGTTCATGCCTCACGGCTCATATCATCCTTACACGCATTGTTTTCATGGTGCTCTCGTTCTCACCGCTTTCGTCGTGGATATCGCGATTACATGTTGCACTGTACAGTGAAAACAATGAATTACATGTTTCGCCTGTTTTCTCAGATTTCAGCCCACTTTGAATGTACTCGCTGCAACGGGAACTTGAACGACCACAGATGCACGCAACAACGATGTCCTTCTGTTCAGCTTTACAGTCCGCTATGAGGAAGTACCGATTGTATACAGTTCAACACGATCATCATCCACAGTGCACTCGCAGCCGCATCTCTGATGGGATCGGCATGCCTGGTCCCTCGTTACGTGCTCTCACATGAGACCAATAGCTTCACCCACATTCAGGAATTCATCGCTCATCAATTTCATCGGTCGATAAGTTTGTCGCTGGTAACCGGAACATCTGGTAACACCAAATTCTCATCTGTATCTCCAGCACGGATGAATTGTTGTTTGGCCTTACGAGACAACCCATCTTCAAATCGCTGCCACCATCAATCAAATAGCAGATTGACACCGGGAGACCTCACCTTGGCACATTTTCAACGCATCCACAGAATACCTTGCCTATTTTACGGTTTCGCTCATGGAGACAGCGATGGCTTCCACGTCGACTAAAGCAGCCACTGCGAAATCGATTCTGACACATCAATAACATAGCGAGCGAATTCCTACTTTCCAGACAGCCAGTGAATGATCAGCGGAACTCGGGACAAGGCCACTCGGCAATGGGATCTGAAGGCGGGCAAGGAGATTAAGGAAGGGTAAGGTGTTTATGAGGAGAAGGTGGTGACAGTGTCGGTGGAGCGGTGCATCCGCGACTATGCCTGCGCGTAGCGAGCGAGGCAAGAAGTGGTGGAGAGCACTACGCTACGACAAAGCTCGCAAGACGCTAAGTGGCTGACCAAGCTACGGCTGCTACTCCGCTCATATCCAGCGGTATCAAGTGATGGTCGATAGGTTGTCGCTGCTGGTGTGGCAGCTTGAAACTGGTGGCTCCAGTGGTCCGTCCGGGGATGGTGGTTGGGTGCGTGCGGTTCGATTCTCTACTATTTGAAGAAGCTCGCAGTGAAGTTAGATACCGGGGACTGCCTTGATGTCTGGGATATCCGATCACAGAAATCGGTTGTGAGGATAGGAAAATCCCTTGGATAGTACTTGGATGAACTTGCTATGAAAGCGCAGAGATTAAGGGAGATGATAACACAAAGTTCATTGTGACGTTCACTATTTAGCGTGTTGAAGTTCAAGGACAACGGCAGAGAATACTAGTGCATCCAAACAAAATGGCAGCATCAAAGTCTGAATTTTGGTGGTTCAAACAACAATAATGTAACCCCACGACTAATGACGGTATGCAAGGCCCAAGGAACAGCGAGTATCAGGCAAACGCGGAAGCGGGGAAACAGGGATAGAGAACGGGTAGCAAAGTACACGGCCGATGGCGACATCAAGCGACTGTAGAAATAATAGGTAGATGAGGGAAGTTAAGAACTCGACAGAAATGAGATGAAATAAACGAAACAGATATTGGTGGACACACGCGACTATTGGACAGCGCTACCGTTGCATCTCCCTTGAACGAAGAACCAGTGACGATGCCAGTAGTACCGTCCGGCGAAAACGAGACCGAGTCAACTGAATCAGTGTGCCCTCTCAAGGGCATACCAACTAGTATCCTAAGAACTAGCGATGATCGCTGCGTCACAATTAATCCACTTGGGCTATAATAACCTGCACAAATAATCCACGGTATGTCAAAGGCATGCGCCACGCAGGGGTTGTATTAGAATTCGCCGTAGCCCTCGAGAAACGAGATAAACGTTGTTTTGTATGGAAAGCCGGACACTCGTGCTCAAATTTTAAGCAAAAATTACCATATACGGCCATGGCTTCTGCGGGACCGCGGATACCGCTATCGCTAATAAGAAACAAACAATGCAATAATATTATGTGCCATCAACCAAGTGGAAATCAAGATTGCCGTTCGTAGTATACTGTTACAACCAAGCCTTACAGAAATCAACCAATGCAAGTTACCATTCGTCCGGCACGTCCGAGTTGTCGTCATCTGAGAAATCCCACACAACCAAACCTGCATGGTCCAGTCCCACAACACTTTCGTCAATGCCAAGTGTGATGTCAGGCTCATCATCACGGGCGAGACTCTCCAGCTCATGCAAATGCTGGTCAACTACAATAGATATTAGTTCCCTTGTATTTGTGTCAAAAAATGGGCATACCAAGACCAAGACCGCCACCCACCCCACCCATGTAGTAGGCACCGTTGCCATCTTCGTGATAGGGCAACTCTTGAAGGTTCTCTATAAGCGGCAAAGTGGTTAATTCTTCCTCTGCCTCATCTAACAACTCAATGTGGCGTGGTATCATCTCGTCATTGGCCTCCACTATGGCGAGTAAGCGCAGGTAGACATCCCAAGTGGTCTGCCGTGTAACTAATGGGTGTCCAAGTTCTGTATAGCAATGTTCCATGAACTCGCTGAATGGCTTTGGAACGAGGTCGAAGACAATATGGGAGGGATCGATGTAGAGATCATGGACGTGGTCTAAGGCTTCCCGTTCGACTTGGATCTGACAAACAAACAAAAGGTAAGAACATGCAGAACAAGCATGGACGGTATTGCTTACTTTAAAGTCTAAGACACCAAAGTTCTTGGGCGATTGGTAGATGATGTCCGGTGCACCATGGGGAAGGATCTTGTTTCGGTCCCGCCGTTTTCAAGTGTTATTCACTCGGTCCTGGTAAGCGTCTAACTCCCGCTGTAACCAGGGTATAAAAACCCAGTGAAAAAGCATCCTAAATTTAAACCGCCAGTTGGTATCAATGTAAGGACAGACAACTCAAAAAAACGGACGGACAATTGGAGAGTGTTGTTGGTATCATACCAACCGGAAGTGACACCATGGTCGAGAAGTGTCTCGAATCCAGGCGTGAAACGACACCACATCTGTGACCACGTTATCTCCGGCATAACGTTTTTCTTCGTCCTCATCCAGCGGTGTTGTAGGCTACCCTGCAAGGCAGGATCGTGCCACTGACGTAGCATAGTGTGAGCGTTAGCGATTCCATAGTTTTCAGACCCAGGGTCGCTCTGGGTCACCATAGGCATGTCTGGTAGGTAGAGGTAAATCAGTGCTATGTTAACAAGACACAGAAAAAATGACTTACGCCCTAGTGTCCCGAGTGTGTCAAGATAATAACTAAGGATCAGCTGTGGGTTCCGGTTCGAGTGCCAGACTCTCATCCACATAATGCGCCCTGAGAATGGCTCGATGCCAGTATGGAGGCCAAGACCGTACCTTAGCCATTTGTCGTGTTGGTCAACGGCAAATAAATCATTCACACCTGCAGCCCAAAATCGCTTCCTGCGAAGGCGATTGGCCTTCCACTGGCGAACGAGCTCTGGTTCGTATGTATGGAAATAGGATATCACAATACTCCTGTAATATACACTTCAGTCACCCCTGTTAAAGTACCTCTTAGGTACATATATTCTGGCTTACAATCTCACCTAAGAGGCATGATCTTAGGCGGTATTCCCAGCCAATGCAGGTTATATCCCGGGCCAATTCAACACTTTCCCCACGAAGCCTGGGCCTGCTGGGCCAATGTATTTGATCTGTCCCATGACCCATCTGGGTCATCCTAGATACTTTATTATATGAATACACAGGGGGTGTCAGGGGTCATTTCTCATGAAAAATTACCCACACATTTAGACACTTAGAGTATAATGTTTGTCTTCATAAGGTCCTTGACCTACGAATGGAGGAAGTGAAAAGAAATATGTGGCGAGGGGGGGGGGCGGCTTGTCTTTGAAGATGTGGAAGAATGTAAGTTGGGTAAGGTTCTTGACCTACAAAATCCAAAGCAGTTGGAGGAGGTGGGAATAAATTTGTGGTAGACGGGGGGGTTGTCTTGGAAGATGAGGGAAGAATGTAAGTCGGGTGAGGTCCTTGACCTACAAAATTCAAAGCAGCTGGAGGAGGCGGGAAGAAATTTGTGGTAGACGGGGGGGTTGTCTTTGAAGATGAGGGAAGAATGTAAGTTGGGTAAGGTTCTTGACCTACAAAATTCAAAGCAGTTGGAGGAGGCGGGAATAAATTTGTGGTAGACGGGGGGGTTGTCTTGGAAGATGAGGGAAGAATGTAAGTCGGGTGAGGTCCTTGACCTACAAAATTCAAAGCAGCTGGAGGAGGCGGGAAGAAATTTGTGGTAGACGGGGGGGTTGTCTTGGAAGATGAGGGAAGAATGTAAGTCAGGTGAGGTCCTTGACCTACAAAATTCAAAGCAGCTGGAGGAGGCGGGAATAAATTTGTGGTAGATGGGGGGGTTGTCTTTGAAGATGAGGGAAGAATGTAAGTCGGTGAGGTCCTTGACCTAGAAATCCTTCTTGACTGTGCCCTCACTCCAGATACTGACATATTTTACACTCCATCTGGTTAATTTGCACAATTGGAACATACTCTGCACCACAATACTCCAGGTTTATTGGAGTAAGTGTCATCACATATTACTTTGGATGTAAGCATAAAAGCGGAAAGAAAAAGACAGTGACTGGTCAATGCGGGATAGCCCACCGCTGTTTTATATGGTGACTGGGCTGACCCAGCTCTCTCCTATGCATGATGCGGGCTAGCCCACCGCTGGTTTATATGGTGACTGGGCTGACCCGGCACTCTCCTATGCATGATGCAGGCTAGCCCACCGCTGTTTTATATGGTGACTGGGCTGACCCGGCTCTCTACCTATGCATGATGCGGGCTAGCCCACCACTGTTTTATATGGTGACTGAGCCGACCCGGCACTCTCCTATGCATGATGCGGGCTAGCCCACCGCTGTTTTATATGGTGACTGGGCCGACCCGGCACTCTCCTATGCATGATGCAGGCTAGCCCACCACTGGTTTATATGGTGACTGGGCTGACCCAGCTCTCTCCTATGCATGATGCGGGCTAGCCCACCACTGTTTTATATGGTGACTGGGCTGGCCCGGCTCTCTCCTATGCATGATGCGGGCTAGCCCACCGCTGGTTTATATGGTGACTGGGCCGACCCCGGCTCTCTCCTACACATGATGTGGGCTAGCCCACCGCTGGTTTATATGGTGACTGGGCCGACCCGGCTCTCTCCTACGCATGATGCGGGGCTAGCCCACCACTGGTTTATATGGTGACTGGGCTGACCCGGCTCTCTCATATGCATGATGCAGGCTGGCCCAGTCCCAATGTTATTACTTGTTTGTCACTATTTTTCCACATTCCATAAAAGTTCTGTACAGTTTTTTCTTCTCTCTTTCTTCTACATTCTATTTTGCAACATCCTCATCCAGTATTAGGCCTTCAATTGTTCTCTCTCCTTTCTTTACTATTTCACTAGGTTGCTCATCTGGGTCAGTACTTACTCCTAAGCCTCTCTACTTTACCTAACTCATTTTTTATTGTAATATTCCCAGTGGTGACTTGCTCTTGCAAATCTGACACTAGTTTAGCAGCACATTCCATGGTTCACCAATGATCTTTCGATTTCCTGACCTATGATTTCATCAATCACTGGTTATTAGTTGTCCTCATCCTCCTCATCATCATGGCCATTTTCTATGGAAACTACATTCTTTATCTTGAACGCACAACTACCGATACGTTAAATGCCCTTGGGCTTCAACCCATCACCACTCCTGTTCCACGGACCAGATCACCAAGCCCTCCTGTTCTTGTTGCCTAACCTCATACAATATCCAAGTGCAGGACTTTTATGTTAGTACTCCACTATCCCTTCTTACCCAACTGCCTGATAGGTGTGATATGGGTTAGCTTCTTACTTGTTCAATATTCAAGGGACAGTCTATTATACACAGTGGGATAGCCCATCACTAATTTCATATGCACGGGTCAGCCCAATACAAGCCCTTATACACAGCGGGGGTAGCCCATCGGTATTCATATGTAGTACGGGTCAGCCCAATACGAGCCCTGGGCTGGCCCACCGCATATTACATAGACACTGGGCTGGCCCACTGCATATATATATATCTTCAACATTCCACTAGGGATAGCCCATCACTCCTTACATACGTATGGGCCAGCCCAATATGAGCCCTGGGATGGCCCACCGCATATTACATAGACACTGGGCTGGCCCACTGCATATATATATAGCTTCAACATACCACCAGGGATAGCCCACTCACCATCAATTGATCCTTGGGATGACCCAGCAACCCAATATATATATAAGTGGGATAGTTCATTATTCTTAATTTATTGAGTGGGATGGCCATGATGGCCTAGATTTACACATATGAAAACTCCTCGATGCTGACATTATCTTTCGAGTGCCCATTGTGCACCACAGTTTGGGACCACAAAACACATAGTCATTCAAGCTATCATACACAAGTACATACGCAATAGTTCGAGTGATATGAAACATTAGTCACGGTAAACGAAATCACGATCATATGAATCATACCCAGGAGCCGGAGTGTTCCTGTCATAATCGGATCTCTCACGTGCCCTTGCAACCACTCTCGAAGGGCCTGCAGCCGGAAAATCATGGCGATGATGATGGGCAACATTATGCCCATAGGAATGAAGATGATGCGGAGACACCTGCTGTACCTCATCATCCCAGTGTTGACGCGGTTCGTAGTCAGGTGTAGGTGCACGAAGGCGAGGGCGAGGGCGAGGGCGAGGGCGAGGGCGAGGGCGAGGGCGAGGTCGAGATTGAAGTCGAGGTCGAGGATGAACAGGGACAAAGTGCGGAGGTGGCAATTCAACATGCGGCGACCGATGACGTACGACCTGAAAATTAACTTGAATGAGATAATGGTAGAAGATATCAGTCTTCAGCTTACCTTCGACTTCTTCGTGATGCGAGAGTCTGATGCATTCAAGCTATCAGCCTCAGATTCAAGTTGTTCATCTGCTGGACACTCGATTAGAAGAGAATCTGCAAGTAATTCATGGACTTGCCATAATCCTCTGCATGTGGTCGCTTGCGAGACTTCTGTTGCTGAAACGCCGATGGGCGGCGTTCTGGACGGGGCAGACCATCATCAGTGTAGTGGTTCTCACGAACAATCGAATATTCACGAGCAGCGGAGGTCTGTTGTTGAGACTGGCGATCCCGAGTAGTATCTCCAAGCTGCCTTCCTCCCGAAGGAACGCCGACATTCGAACCACGTACTGATGTTGCTTCCTTGTATTTTGAAGCAACCCTTGGGGGATGGAGTGCTTGAATTTCTCGGAGTCCGCGAGTTTCCGGAGCACGATATTGGAAGCGCTGGTGACCAAAGGAATATCAAACATGTTAGGGTCGTCTTTTTCACATTGCTCGATGTGATCTGAAGCAACAACGTTAGACATAAAAATGAACAGGGCAATAAGTACCTTTGGGCCAAGGAACAATATCAATCTCAGACACAGCGACGTCCAACTCGTCAATGATATCATCAAGAGTTTTTTCGCTCCGTCCTTGCTTGCGCCGAAGTTCGAGTAAGCTCTCAGCTTCAGTCTTCAGTTCGGCGTCATAATATTGCAAAGCCCTGCGCTTGATGTAAGGCACGACGAGTAACTTCAGATGTTGTGCGCTGAGGGTGTGGTAGTTGAAGTCTGGGCCAACTGGGGGAACTTCGTCAGGCCAGAGTTCGAATTGAAACTTGTTCTGGTATGCAACGTCGAGTAACTTCCGCCACTGGACAGACTTCATTTTGTAGCCGAATTGTTCTGTTGAATCGAATTAAAATCAAGTCATGGATGGGAATAAGTCGAGCTTACCTAGTTTCTCCAGCACCATGACCGGCCAGATACGTCGGTAACGGTCCCGTGGGGCTTCACCAGGCTTCGAAAACAAAATATCATATGCCCCCCCAAACCGCGGCATTGCGAGCTGGTAGTTTTTTGCCCTGGACACATTGTAAGATTAAACTTAGAGTAGTTCCAAGCCACATACTTTGCTGCAGTAATAATCCAATCTAACGCAAGTTGGGCGTCCACTTGGCGTTCATTGATGACATCCATGAAGGTGGATGAGCCTGCGACAAAACCCTGAGGCCTGTCGGGCCGCCTCATCAGGAGTCGAATCAAAGACACAGCCAATGACCTCAATGCCTTCTAGGCGAGAATAAGCTGCAAACTTTGCGACAGTAAGCCATAATACAAACAAGTACTGTCAAAATACTTACACGCTTAGCGAGTGCGTCCCTTGTAGACATAACAATACTGGCACGCGATCGATTGTTACTAGCACCGCCCAAGTGACCATCATAGTGCGCTTGTATGTCATCCCACAGCGGGTCGCTGTCTTCAAGGCTGTAGTAGTGGTCGCGCTGTCTCTTTCTCCAATCACTAAGTTCTACCAGAGGATATTGGTCAGTATGGGCACCACAACATGAAATAAATATTCACCTTCATCGGTTTCTCGAGGATATTTTCCTTTGTACCATCCTTGGTGCATATTCCATGGGGTCTCGGCCCTGGAGTGTTTCACAGACAACCCGGCCTCGATGAGTATTGTGCGTGCAGATTTTCCATATTTGTCACCAATTAACTTGGCAGCGTGAAGTGTCTTGCGCCCGAGCTCCTGCGCGTCGTCTATGCCTTCCTGGCACAGCCGCCCAGGTCTAGAAGTGACGGGAAGGTCATTGTCGTCGTCATCAGTCTCCATTGCCATGGAGCTTTTTGGCAGAGCACTGGAGACGGGACTCTTCTCGACCGACTTCGTCGTCACATGCATGGCAGCCTGGAGTACCTGGGTGGACGGGGGAGTCCCTGTTACTGTGGATTTTGGGGGGAGAGCTTTTGGAGGTGCGCGCTTCTGGGGCAATTTCGTCTTTGATGGAGGCGCAGGTAAGTCGTTGTCGTCAGTTGTCGTCGCCTTCTTCTTTTTCTTCGTCGGCTTCTTGATCTTCTTTGTATTCATCATCATCTTCGTCAGACTCCTCTTCCGAAGAGGAAGGATCACGCTGAGCAAGCATTGCACGGTGTTCAGCCCGTCTCCTCGCTTCTCGATTTCGGTACGGGTAGTTGTTCTCCGAGGAAGGGGCGCCATCCAAGGAAGAATTTTCATCCTCTGGAGTATCAGAGGGGGGTAAGGATTCTGGGAGACGAAACAAGGACTGTTAGTGAAAAATGATTGATAGGAGACGGTGGTACATACCATGAATTTTGGGATCGCCCTTGTGAGCATCCGCTTGTCCTTCACTGTTGTCCTCATCGTCCGTGACAAGGTCATCAGTCTTCGGGTGGTCTTTGTAATAGTCGTGTCAGTGGGTGGTTACTCGATTTGTAGAATGCCCGCCCATACCTTGGGTATCAGACTCAGTGTCAGTGCGCGGCTCTGTGGTAGCAACGGAGGATTTCGCGCGCCGGGCAAGGATGGCGCTGTAGTCGTCGAAGCTCATGAACGAGTTCCCCCTCGGCAAGGGGGTAGGTTTGATTTTTTTGGCGGGTGGTAGTGTTTTAGTCTGAAGCTTTCAAAGACGAATATCAATGTCTTGTGATAAAATAAAATAAAAATAAAAATAAATGTACCATGCGTTGGTTGATAGGCGCACCACTGCGGGTACGCATCACGAAGTCGATGACAGGAGTTTCCATCCGCGGGTTAGCGCACTTTTTGGTGGAAGATGATTTTTTGGGAGGCATGGCAGAGGGAGCTTGACAAATTGACTAAAGAGATCTATGAACACGAATACAACAGAAAGCAGCCTGAAGAACACGAAGTCCTCAAATATCAACAGCAAGGAGCTTGAAGAACACGAAGTCCTTTTCAGCAGCCAAGACACGAAGTCTCGCAAACAGCGAATTCAAGTAAAAGCTGATGTAGGAGTAAGTTAGAACAACAGACAACGTGATGGAGAAATTCGGACCTACCTCGGTTTTCACGCAAATTCTCAAGACGAGAAGGAAAATACTGTAGTGAGAATGACTGAGTGACAGAGAGTTGATGGCGAAAAATTGGAGCATACCCGGTTTTTAAAGGTAGGAACAGGGCGCCTACGGTGAACTATATGCATAAGATCGTCGGCTGGACGACGAACAAACTTCGACAGAAGACTCCAATACTCTAGATATGACACATAGACCGCATTTGGAACGGGCGAGGCCATCCTGAAGTAGCGCGCAGAGTACCCAAAGCAATTACGGAATAGTGAGTTAAGTACAGGAAGATGAAAAGTAAACTATGACTTAGCTACCAGACAGCGTCGACACTAGCACCCAACGACATCTGCTATCGCAAAGGTAGGAGCTTAAGAGACTGATGAGGGTGTCACAGCAAATCGAGATGGTAAGCCGGACATCGAAGGACGGTGGAAGATTGAGTGGTCGTAACAGTACTAACACGAAGTCAGACTGTGTGTAGTGTATCTGAAGTGACACGAAGTCACTTCAGATAGTGTTAGCTACCGCGAAGGCAGCTCACGAGGAGTCGAGGGGTAGATGAGTGCAGGAATAGAGAGGAGGAAGGCGGCGTAGTTGGCTGAGGTTGGCGAATGTTCCAACAAGTTCTGAGTCACTTCACAATTCTCATTTGTCACAAGCCCATTTGGGTTATCCCAGGGCGTAATCACAACTTTGCGCCTTTACTAACTTTACTCTTTACCCTTTACCTTTTCCTTTGCTCTTTCCAACTCTTCCTTCTCCTCCCATCGCCGGTGTCGATTATTCTGCCTTTGCGGTAGACAACACTATTCCAGTGACTTCGTGTTACTGTGCAATAGCACTCGCTACTCTAACTTCGGTTACAGTACCCTTCATCACGTTCAGATTCCTCTTAGCTTGCACTTACCGTGCCTTTATTGGTTCGTCGCTCGATTACTCACTCTCATCGGATAGTCACCTTTTCGTTATTCGCAGTCCCTCTGACGATGCCTCTGACAATACATCGTGAATTTAAACCATTCTTACGCGACGGTGACAGTAAGTGCCCTTGGTGATTGTCCTGTGATCCTCCTCTAATTTTGATATAGATGCTATCACAGCTACAGACGCACGCTCTCTCGCCTATGACGGTCAACTCGTTTTCACTTCGCCTAATATGACTTTCGTTCCCCAACTATACGACAATCCCTCCGATATTGTGCAAGCGAGGGCGGATGGGAAGTTTTGGGCGATGGATCCTTTCCAGTGGCCTCAAATGTACGCAGACGCTTACACCTGGAGTTTTACCATTCCACGACGCGAATTCCATGATCCTAGCACTGACCTGTGGTATGCTTGGTGGTCGCCAGCTTTTTCTGACGATTTTGAGCCACTATCTCCTGGTCATGTCTTTGGCAAGCTGAAGTCCACCCACCGTGATCACCTATTTCGACTGTACGAGCGGGCTAACAAGCGCGTCGGCTCCTACAAGCTGTTCCGAGAAAACAAGCAAGACGCGGTTGTTGGATGGGTCACCGGGTTGCGCTCTGTTTTTGAACGCTTCAAAGAGACGCGAGCTTGGCGAGATATTGTGATGATCTTGGCCGAGTTTCAGAGGCGATTTCTGGAGATATGGAGCATGATGGATTACCTTGAGATCTTTGAGCCGCGGTTGAAATTTGAGGACAAAGCGCACGGGGTCAACAAGACTTGGATGGGGTGCTTCACCAAAGACTCCGCTATCGCGTTGAGGCTCCACAAGGCTGGTGTACCTGTGTGGTTGATACGAGATGTCAGGCTCGTCGATGATAAGATTAACATCCGCCAAGTCATTCCCTTCACTCCTGCCGACCTTGTGTTTGGGATGTACCTCCATCCCATTAAGAACTTCGCTCAACCTTTCGATATCCGTTACAAGGGTCCAAGTGATCATCAACGCCAGGCTGCGGTTCGTCAACCGTACCTTACTTTTGAAGAGATCCCTATGGATCAAACCGAAGTCAATCGCTTTGCAGCTTCCAGAGAGCCGTCATCGGGTAAAGCGCCCACCAAGACCACGAAAAATAAGTCCGCAGTATGTGAGTGCAGTGTCTAATTTCGGTTCACCATTCTTATCTAACAATTATCTAGATGAACCGACCGCTCTGCGCCAGAACCAGTCTCAAGTTGGACGTGACAAATGGTGCGACGTGGCTCACCCGTTCATGCCCAACATCAACACCTTCTTCGCATCGGCTATGACTCACGCGGACAAAGATTTGAGTCGTGTCAAGCCAACCCACGCAAGAATGGATGAGGGATACAGGCTCCCCGACCCTGGATTATTTGTCAACGTCCTTTCCTCGCAGTCTCTGAAGAAATATCTCGCTAACTGGTTGGCATGCCGTGAGTCGTGGCTGAGGCATGTTTATATGTCGCCTCCATCTCCGCTCCCTCGGTCCCAAAGCTGGCGTGATCTATTGATCACGCAGCCAACAACACCACAGCCCTCGTCGTCAAGTGGTCAGATGCCATCAGGCAAGACTGGCAAGTCCAAAGCCAAACTCGACCTGTTCTTTGGAGATGAATTATCGCTCCTACGCCAGTTTTGGACTGGATCCCAGATGTTGCAATGGAGGGGTCAGAAAATCGAAGCAGCGACGCTCGAGAATCCGCCGCATCGTCTCATTCAACAGATCATATACGAGATTTGCGAGCAAAGCTTCCGATACGACCTTCTGGAACTCGATGAACATCTTGCCGGTCATATGCGGCTGGATCGGGAGGCGAAGAAGCGTCGCATGGAGTTGCTCCGTGGAATTTTTCCCCAGCATGCCCTCAGCATGTGGGATAAGGATTTTTCGACTCGGAATGATGGACTTAATGCTGAGTCTTTCCAGGATGCTCTTCCATATTTCGAGAATTTTCGTCAAGTGTTGATCGCATGGGACGGTGCTCCTCAAGATCTCAAACAGCCTTTCACCGAGTCGATGCCCGAGGGAGAGAAGTGGCAACGCATGAAGCAATGTGCCCTGTTTTATGTACAATCATTTTACGACAACACAGGTCGCCCCCCCGTGGTCCCTCATATACTTTACGCGGGTCCATAGACGATTTACACTCGCTTCTGTTCGCTTCTGTATTTGTTCGTTGATGTGAGTTGCTACGCAGCGTGGTTCTTTCATGTACAATTTCTGTTGGTGAATTCTATTGACTTGTTGCTCCGGTGCTATTCACTGTTTGTTGATCACTGGCGTTCATGACCATTATCCTCCTCCCAGGCTAGTATCTACTAATTTTTGCTACATAGGTCATACGAACTGGGACTTCGTGTTCCTCTGTGCTTGTTGACTGACTTCGAGTCAGTCACAATATTCTTGCAGGCTTTGTGCCTATCAGAAACATCTACCATGGATGGAGGACCACATCCACGGAATATCGCCTCGACGTCTACTCCTGCAACTCCTGTCCGTCGTCATTCGCAGCAAATATTAATCACACCGTCCATGGTCAAGAAGCGCCGGAAACCACGAGGAAGCAACGCATTTCATCTTCCAGGTCCTCCTCCAGTTCTAGTACTTCCGGGTAGGCGGTATTTCGCCCAACAAACTGCTTCCAATTCCAATCCTCGGCTTGATGTCCCACCTCCTGATCCGAATGACCAGGACAGGCCTTCGTTTTATGACGATGTCCACTTCTTTTCCGATCCCTCCGCTCCTCGATCCCTCCGCTCCAATGGGCGGCAGAAAAAAGTTCAATCAGTGGCAACGCTGGTCAAACGAAGTGATTCCTTCGCTAATCGGTCCATACCTCACATATCAATACAAATCTTCTTCGCTCCGTCATCGGCCTGCACTTCAAAATGATCCTGTCGAGTGTACGGCTTCATGCCACAGGAGGACTTTAGAAGTGACTTGTGTTTTTTTCAATTGTACGAACTCACCATATTGTTATGTGGCTCGAATTGACCGTAGTCCAGATTTAGAGGTTTTGAACATTGACTGCTGCCCCTGCGCACCCGCACCCCTTCAACTTCTTAAGTTGGGGCTATTTGCATGTGCACCCATAGCTCCATCTCTTGCTGTTGACCTACGTGTACTAGAGCTCGTTAGGACTCTTTTTGTACGGATCACCCCCAATACAACAGCCTGGTGTGAAGCATTGGAAGTTTTTCTAACAGCTCGGGGTTACAAACTTTCTACCAAGGTCTGCCTGCACGATTCTTTTTTGAAGTAAGCTAACTCTGGCATCTTCAGGACAATCTTCGCCGCCGCTTCAGTAACGCGTATCATTGGTACTCAGTCCTTGTGATGAATGCTGGAGACCACGTATACAGCCTCATTTCACAACATCTTCCTTCGCTGTTCTTTGGGGGACGAAGTCTTGCCCGCACAACCAAGCGATTATCTCCGTTCACTGTTGTCCAGTTTGTTTTGGAATGCAGGATTGGCAAAAGGATCACAGTTCGCGTCTCAAGTATGTCAATCCTACCGTGTTTTCCCCTGTGCTGATGTTTTTGCAGGCTAGATTGCCATGTATGCATCGATGCATGCTTCACACAGAAACGGTCAGCCAATTCACGTGGGGCCGATGGCCTAGATCCGCCAAACCCAACACGATCAGTTTTCATTTCGGACGAAGAGGTCGCACGGATGGAAGCTCACGTACTTGCCTGTCGAGGCTCCCTACCTGGTCGTGGAACAAAACGCAAGAAGCCGGAAGGCGACGAAGACGGGTACGAAGATGGTATGCGCATCCCTGTATCGACATTGGATGCCTGCAGGGAATCTTTTCTTGCTGCCGACGAAAAACGAGAGAAAGCTAGCACCCGTTTCTTCGCCGATACGGGAATCATGGCCTTACTTTGTCGTCATGATTGTGTCTTATGGTTGGTCAATATGACATCAGCAGGTGAAAAACAATATTATGCGCTTGCACTTATTAAAAAGCTCTTCGAACATCTTCCGCCAACCATTGACCGTCGGTATCTTGTATGATATTGCATGTCAGCTCGAGCGTAGTTGTCTTAAATACCAACTTCTCGAGCAAGGTATTCTCTCACGTATCGTCTTTTCTATATCCGTATTTCACGCGTACGGACATCAGTGGCCTTGTCAGCTTATTTATCACCCTCGCAAATGTGAAGGGTTTGGACTTTCTGACGGAGAGGGCTGTGAGCGCCTGTGGAGCGCTCTCAAGATGTTGATCCCCCCCCTTGCGGGTCTCTGGGGTAAGTATCTTAATTCGTATACCTTGACTGACTAACATTAAGATAGTACCACCAACGGCTTTTTGTGCTGAATGCGCAAGTTCGGCATCTTGACGGCAAAAATCTCGATACATTTGGCGAGTGGCTGAGTCGCAGATGGACTCGTTGCCAGACAAAGAAGAGCAGTGCAGAACATGCTGCTTCGACAACTCTCTGTAGATGAAGCTAATATACGCCCGGAATGGAGGGCTCAGGTCGAGCACCAAACGAAACCATTATCCAGTGCGTGCTTTATTTTATATTTTCATATTTCCCTAACATTAATAGAAAGGGAGATCAAAAACCAACAATGACGAGCAAATATCGAAGATTTTGACCCTCGAGCGAACACTCAGTAACCTGGACGATTCCGTTCGTGCTCTTGAGATGCAGCTCTGTGCTGGCAACACTCTTAACAATGTTGACTTCAACCTTCGACTTGCAGACGAACGCACCCACCGGTCCAAAGTTGCTGATACTCTGCGACGATGGAAGGCATCCCTTGGCATCGGGCAACTTAACGATCTTCAACAACTCCGACGTAGTATATTCCTTCAAATTCGTCTTGATGCGCAAGCTGTCAAGGCACGCCTTCGTGAACGTCTGCTGCCAGCGCAAATTTGAAATTGAGAGGTTTGAACGGTCGTACCGTCAGACAGTAAATGGTATGTAGCTCGTTTCAATATGTTGACATGTCCGTGATTATCTTTGATCTAGAGCACAAGCTTCATGTGCATGCAGAAGCTTCAATTCAACGGCGCAACCCTACCATACGAAAGCTTGTCACAACTTACAACAACCTCTGTGGTAAACTAATTGACTTAATTCGACGAGGCGAGGCTCCTGCCGGTTGCGATAGCGCCTCATTCTATCTCTCCGACTGGTATCTTTCAGCTTGACGTAGATGATGACATCTGGCAAGATGTTGGACTTGACGGCAATGACATGGCCCCACCTGCCTGGCTAGCGGATGAAAATATGCGCGCAGCAATTAAGTTTCAACTTGAGGTAGACCGGTTTGCAATGAGGAAAGGGCTCGTATCATGCGAGAACGTTGTGTTCTCCAGGAGTGGATGATGGCTGAGTGGGATGCCTTGCAGGAGGCTCGCACTCGTGCAGGTAAGTTTGTACAACATTCTACTGCCGTGACACTGATAGTATATTTAGAAGAAAATGAAGATCTCTGCTTTCATTTCGACCTCCGTGCTCGCTTGTTGAGTGGTCTTGTGTGCATTGGCAATCTCGAGTTCGTCCTATCCCTTGTGCTTGGCCATTGCCTGACTCATGGGGCCCCACCCCGAATGACCTTGCTGAGGCTGCTAATATGTATTATCAACCAAGCTGTCTTGATGGCACAGCTGCTGTGTATGATTCTGAGAATGACTGGGAGTCTGATGAGGAGAGGGAGAATGATGAATTGATAGATGAATTGGAGGAAGCTGCATTGGCTGGAGCATATATAGATCTTGACTCGGATTCATATGATATATAGTCTTTTGTAGCAATATCCGAAACTCTTGAGTGATTGCTATTAGACAATATTTGGAAAGTGCAAATATATCATGGGCTATCCCATCTTAGAATTCAAAGATGGTGGGGCATCCCAGACATGGGCTATCTCATCATGGGTAGGAGAGTGCCGGGCCAGCCAGTGACCATATAAACCAGTGGTGGGCTATCCCGCATCATGCGTAGGAGGAGTGCCGGGCCAGCACAGTGACCATATAAACCAGCGGTGGGCTATCCTGCCATCATGCGTAGGAGAGTGCCGGGCCAGTCCAGTGACCATATAAACCAGCGGTGGGCTATCCCCGCATCATGCATAGGAGAGAGGCCAGGTCAGCCCAGTCACCATATAAACCAGCGGTGGGCTAGCCCACATCATGCGTAGGAGAGAGCTGGGTCGGCCCAGTCACCATATAAACCAGCGGTGGGCTATCCCGCATCATGCGTAGGAGAGAGCTGGGTCGGCCCAGTCACCATATAAACCAGCGGTGGGCTAGCCCACATCATGCGTAGGAGAGAGCCGGGTCGGCCCCAATCACCATATAAACCAGCAGTGGGCTATCCCGCATCATGCATAGAAGAGGTGCCGGGCCGGCCCAGTCACCATATAAACCAGCGGTGGGCTATCCCGCATCATGCGTAGGAGAGTGCCAGGTCAGCCCAGTCACCATATAAACCAGCGGTGGGCTAGCCCACATCATGCGTAGGAGAGAGCTGGGTCGGCCCAGTCACCATATAAACCAGTGGTGGGCTATCCCGCATCATGCGTAGAAGAGGTGCCGGGCCGGCCCAGTCACCATATAACCAGTGGTGGGCTAGCCCGCATCATGCATAGGAGAGTGCTGGGTCAGCCCAGTCACCATATCGGTGGGCTAGCCCGCATCATGCATAGGAGAGAGCCAGGTCAGCCCAGTCACCATATAAAACAGCGGTGGGCTATCCTGCATTGACCAGTCACTGCCTTTTTCTTTCCGCTTTTATGCTTACATCCACAGTAATATGTGATGACACTTACTCCAATAAAACCTGGAGTATTGTGGTGCAGAGTATGTTCCAATTGTGCAAATTAACCAGATGGAGTGTAAATATGTCAGTATCTGGAGTGAGGGCACAGTCAAGAAGGATTTCTAGGTCAAAGACAACCCCCCTGTCTACCACAAATTATTCCCGCCTCCTCCAGCTGCTTTGAATTTTGTAGGTCAAGAACCTTACCCAACTTACATTCTTCCCTCATCTTCAAAGACAACCCCCCTGTCTACCACAAATTTCTTCCTGCCTCCTCCAGCTGCTTTGGATTTTGTAGGTCAAGAACCTTACCCAACTTACATTCTTCCACATCTTCAAAGACAAGCCGCCCCCCCCCCTCGCCACATATTTCTTTTCACTTCCTCCATTCATAGGTCAAGGACCTTATGAAGACAAACATTATACTCTAAGTGTCTAAATGTGTGGGTAATTTTTCATGAGAAATGACCCCTGACACCCCCTGTGTATTCATATAATAAAGTATCTAGGATGACCCAGATGGGTCATGGGACAGATCAAATACATTGGCCCAGCAGGCCCAGGCTTCGTGGGGAAAGTGTTGAATTGGCCCGGGATATAACCTGCATTGGTTGGGAATACCGCCTAAGATCATGCCTCTTAGGTGAGATTGTAAGCCAGAATATATGTACCTAAGAGGTACTTTAACAGGGGTGACTGAAGTGCTCAATTTCTGAAAGCCCTGGCCATCTGAAGCCGGGCCAAAGCCGGGGCTTTCGAGCCAAGCCAGGCCGGAACATCACTACTCGAGGTGGTGAAGAAGCTTCAGCTTATTCGCTTGTTTATCTCGGCATGTCGTCAGACTAGCACAGCGCTTGCACAAATGTCAAAAAGAATGCGCTGTTGTATGGATTATCCTTCAAGCTTCAGTCGTATCCCTCAGGCTGCCCACGGGCGTGCACCTGATATTGGTGGATGGATATATCATTATGGGCTATAGCCCTAAAACTGGGATACATCCCTTGGCTCAACTATCCATTGATGTGATACATCCCTGTAGGCTACTTATCCATGTATCTTCCAGGATGTCCTGCCATGATCCTCCGTCCGAAAGCCGGAGCATTTATTACTCTGACAGTGGATGGCCGGACTGCACTATCCTGAAAATCTGAGATTCAAGGTTGATTAATTGAAGACGTCACTACATAAGCAGGTACAGAAGCTAATTAACCCATCGAGATCTTCGCATGGGGGTTCATCAATAGAAGGTCCGTCGTCCAGCTGGCCTTCTGCACAATCATCCAAACCTGCACTTACTAGAGCTCCCACATCCCTCCACATTCCTGAAAAGCTTGCAGACAGGTCATGACGGACAGCAGCCTGGCGTTTTGCATATGCAATCAGACCATCCGCATCTTCTGACCGCTGTGACAATCATACCAGCGCTAGGCGCATATGAGTGTCATAGGCAAATTTGGCCTTACCTTGAGGAAGGAGTAAAGCGCTAGTCACCAGTGCTATTCAGCTCCCAAGCTATCCGCTTTGGAACCGCTTTTCTCCCATAGCGCGCTGCCCGGCCCGACGCCTAGGTATTTCGTCCTCCCATGTCCTGCCTATGTCCACCTACCTCCGCTGGTGCGTTATTTTTCCTTAAACGTCGCTACTCATCAGTTGCAGGTCTTATTACATGCATCCTCGTGTTCCGCTGCGCTGCATGTCTTATTACCTGTCGCTACAATCGTGCCTCCATCAGTGTCACTACTATTCTCACCCTACCCATTCCCGAACTTTTACGCAGTATGATAAAATGACCCGTCGCACATACAGTACAGTACTTCCCTTCCCCGGACCTTTGCTGGTGTTGGAGTCACTTTAGTCGCTATATCCTGGTTTTGGTGCAATCGATTCCGCTCTTGCCGATCTCTCTGATCGCGTGTCGCTTGACTTGCTTCGAGTGCGCATCGCTAAAGTTCCTTCATAAGTTTGATCTTCACAACGTCGGGATCGCTGTCGGTAGTCGAGCTATAATCTAGTTGCTATCAGGCATTCCACTTGCACTATCATACCTTATCCCTCGCTTTCCCTTCTTTTGATTTCTTCTCGCTGTCGCTAGTTGGACGTCGCATAGCGCTATCGTATAGGACAACTTGCATCACTTCAGTCAACCACTTGAAATGACCTCTTAGGTCTATGTGTTTGTGGCTAGCAAAGGACCCTAGTGGGTGTGTTCTAGGATGGTATTCCCAGTATTTTACCCCCATGTACTGGGATGTCCTGGTCCACACTGAAGCAAGTATCTGGGCCATCCCAAGGACCTATTTTGATCTTTCCCAATCCCAACCGGGATCACTCTAGCATGTCCTCTGGGATGTCCCAGGGCATTTATTAGGAGGGCTTTCCCATCATAAATAGGGGTGATAGGGGTCCTTTTTCAGACATTTTGACGGCATAAAAATTCACGATTTGTACATTCATAGAAGGAGTAGTACTAGGTATGCAAGGCCAGTATATGCACTTGAGACAAGATTTTGATATGGGACAAAAACCTGCAGGATTTTTGGCTTGAAACAGCGTCCTAAACATAAGAGAAGTCTAATGAGAACTGTGATGGTGGGCGGGCACCAGCAGTGTATGACAGATTCAAATAGACAGACTAGCTATGACAAATAATCTGTTAGAATAAATAATGGCCATGAGACACACTTTGAGACTGCTGAGGGATTGGTGGGCAGGCGCAAAAGAGTGATAGATCACACGAGTGCAGCACTAGTCATTGAGTAATGAAATTGTCTTGCGAGCAACATGCAATAAAATGTGGGAGCTTTACTTGTGAGTCTGTTAGAAGACAAAGCGGGGGGGTGGCACAGACTCAGATATGCAATAAAATGTGGGAGCTTTACTTGCAAGTCTGTTAGAAGACAAAGCGGGGGGGTGTGCAAGGAAGGGGGGTGGCAAAGATAATATGCAATAAAATGTGGGAGCTTTTACTTGCAAGTCTGTCATAAGACGACAGGGGGGTGTGCAAGGAAGGGGGGGTGGCAAAGATAATATGCAATAAATGTGGGAGCTTTACATGCAAGTCTGTCATAAGACGACAGGGGGGGTGTGCAAGGAAGGGGGGGTGGCAAAGATAATATGCAATAAAATGTGGGGAGCTTTACTTGCAAGTCTGTCATAAGACGACAGGGGGTGTGCAACAAAGGGGGGGGTGGCATTAGATAATATGCAATAAAATGTGGGAGCTTTACTTGTGAGTCTGTCATACGATGGCGGGGGGTGTGTGCAAGGAAGGGGGGTGGCAAAGATAATATGCAATAAAATGTGGGAGCTTTACTTATATCATGTCTGCTGGCGTCGTAAGGGGTGATAATGCGGAATCGCTTATTCTTTGCTTGCAATATGGTAGCAATAGGAAATGGTTTGGCACTGTCCAAGGTTCTTCCGGCTAGTTCTATGTTACTGTTCCTGGCTGGGAATGTTGATAAAATGATAAGCCATCCTCTCGTTCGTGACGGGTGTTGCATATTCGACTCGAGTAGGCCATAATATACAGCTTGAGAGATGAAGTTTCCAATTTGAGGAGGCATCCTGTATTGTGTGTTCAGGAAGAGGGCATGGTCCTTGAGATGCTTGACCTCGAAGATGCTCTTCAGGTCGTGGATATCATCCTGACCATAGTGTGGCAATTGTTTGTCATCGCCAATGAAGCAAATCTTTCTAATGGAGGTATGAGAGGTGAAGAGAGGATGTAGGCGCCAATCTCAATTTGGGATGCTATCTAGAGGGGGGGAATGATAAACTACTAGCTAATGGCACTGTTCAGGCTCTCCCGCCTACCTCTCTAGTACTATCTGGGCCTTCCCGCCCACCCTATACATGTCATCGGGGCTCTCCCCCTGCCATTCAATTAGCAACTGGGCTCTCCCCACCGACCATATACGCATCCTCTGGGCTCTTCCCCTACCGTTCGATCAGCAACCGGGCCTTCCCACTGATCCTACCAACACCATTTGTTGAAGTGCCTTGGAAGCCGGAAATATTGCAAGTGAGGGTAAATTGACCAGCTCCTTGCACTGCGGCTCTGTGCAACACACAGGCAAGTTCTTTCCAATTAACTTGGAAAATTTTCAGGTGCTCTTGCAACCCCTCAATCAAACTCAAGTGGGGTCCCTTGCAAGCGCCTTTGGAAATTTCTGACCATAATGGTCAAATCACGTGATATGCACATTCTCGACCTCTCTGATATCAAGTACCAATTACATTTTCCTCATCAGATTTAGATTGTGCAGCACACCTAGAGTACTACAAATTAAATCTAACACGTTTGTTGGGCTATCTATCAATGATTCATGAATTACATAGTCACCCTCGATGTCATGTTCCTCTTGCCCTCTATACTGATCCGCTAATGCAATATCTTCTAAAACATCCATAAGCTCCTCATCACCACAGCCAATATCAGATTCCCAGTCATCTCCATCATCCGATACATGATCTTCGTCATCAGGGTCATCAGGGTACACCACAGGTGTCCCATTAGCAAGTTCGGTTTGAGACGGCCCCCAGCAGTCAGGCATAGGCCATGCACATGGAATGGGACGAACCTTCGTCTGCCACCCCAGTACAAGGACAATGAATTGTCGAGCACGGCAATTCATGTGATAGAGGATCGCTTCATCATCCTTCGAAAGTCAGCATGGAATATTAGTGAGGTGCGTCCAAAACTCACTTGCATGTGCACGCGCCCTCTGTAGACCATCCCACTCACGCATGGCCCACTCTTGCAGAGCACAGCGCTCTACCTTCACACGAGACTCTTCTTCGTTGCATCGGTCAATCTCAAGCAGCAGTCTGATCGCAGCACGTGTGACCTCATCAGCTAGCCAATCAGGGGGTTCCGGCACGACATCGTCAAGTCCAATGTCCTCCCAAATATCAGCATCAATATCAAGATCAAAAATACCGGTAGGAGAGATGGGGTTGGGTGGTATAGCATTCGGAGGACTGCGGTTGTCTGATAAGAGCACTAAGATCAGCACATAAGTTATTATATGTGGACACGAGCTTTCGTATCGTAGGATTGCGCCGCTGGATTGCAGCATCGACATGGGAATTAAGCTTGCGCTCTGTGACAAAAAAATGCAGTCAGTTGAGGTCCTCATGTACAAGTTA